TTTGTCTGTCCTCCACATTCCAAAACATGCGCGTTAAGTTGATTGCAGTTTTTAAATTGTCCAAAGGTGAGAATGTGAGTGTGAATGCTCATTTAGCTATCCCGGGTGTAACCAAGGTGTCCCGGTGGACCAGTGGTTAGCACGTCGACCTCACAGTGCAGAAGTACCGGGTTCAATTCCAGCTCCGGGCTCCCTGTGTGGAGTTTGCATGTTCTCCCCGGGTGGGTTTTCTCTGGGTACTCCGGTTTCCTCCCACATTCCAAAAACATGCATGGTAGGCTGATTGAACACTCGAAATTGTCCCTAGGTGTGAGTGTGAGTGCGGAAGGGTGTTCATGTCTGTGTGCCCTGCGATTGGCTGGCAACCGGTTCAGGGTGTCCCCCGCCTACTGCCCGAAGACAGCTGGGATAGGCTCCAGCACCCCCCGTGACCCTTGTGAGGATAACCAGATCGGAAAATGGATGGATGGATGGGTGTAACCAATCTTTTTGAAATTAAGAGCTACTTCTTCGGCACTGATTAATGCAATTAATGGGGAAGACAATCCTTACCTCACAAGCCATTTCTACATAATATTAAAAATGTATTTTCAAATTCTGACATTGCTCTTACTTCAAATGAAACACAAATGTGATACAACAGATATAGGTTTCAGTTTCGCATTTTGCATTTTTTTTCCCCAAGCTAATTGATAACTATACTACTAATAATTACTCCAAGTTTGTGTGTGCACAACCTTTCAAAAAATACAGAGGTTTAATTGCTAGTGTCAACTTCTCACAATCAGTCCTTCGGATTCCCACCAACCAGTAAAATTAGATGAATGCTAAGCGAAGTTGAAAAATGCTGCCCGGTTCCGGGAAAATGGCTGAGATTAAAATTCCATCTAGTGGCTAGGAGGGGAAGTTATGGGGGTGGGGGGGCATTTTCCCCCACTTTACCTTTCAAGTGCAGGTAGCCTACACCACTTAACTTCCCAGACGAAAAGGGAGAGATTTGACTGCATAGCTTTTTTTACGGCCTGCATTTATCTTGTTTTCTTCAGAAAGAGAGCAAAAACACACACACACACACACACACGAAAAAAAGCCCTTCAACATCTCTGGAAATTGTGTAATTCCAGATATTTTTATTAATTTATTATAAATGATTCTGTCGGGGTTAAAAGTTTACATTTTATTTCTAATCGCCTTGCGGGCTGTAAATGGCCCACTGGCTGCAGGCTGCTTGTTCATCCCTGGCAGAAACCTTCAAGCTTCTGGGCTGATACGTTCTTGAAAATCTTCAAACGAACAAAAAAAAATCCATCTTCTCTCGAGTCTCATGGTAATGGAGGAAATGTTAAAAAGAAACAAAAAATGAGAACATTCAAAAGGGATCAATCCGTCTTCTCTCGAGTCTCATGATAATGGAGGAAATGCTTAAAAGAAACAAAAAATGAGAACATTCAAAAGGGATCACATGTCCATTAAAGGCAAGGTAGCTGTCAGTCTGTCAGCTCACCTGTTAGCAGGCGCGCTAATGAATTAAGTGTCAAATGGGGGGGCAGACACCTGCTGGGCTTGTCGAGCAACCAGCCGTCTCACGCTTTTCCTTTCTTTAAGCTGCAGCACAATGACCGCAGTTTAAACAATGCATGTCCGCAAAAATCACACCTCATGTTTCGAAAGAAAGAATAAGAAAACCTTTATTCGTCTCACAATGGAGAAATGGAAGCGTGGGATGTGGCGCTCAACGCTCCTGTGAAGAAATTATAAATCAATCAGTCAATCGAATATGCATATTTGCTCTCAGGTGCTCTTATAACATAACACACATGATGCCTCATTTGTACTTTTCTTGTTGGATGAAAAAAAAAATACAAAATGGTGGCCCGATTAAAACAATGTAATGCAATTAAAACACAGCGAGTGCTAGGCTGCTTTATTATCATTCACAGGACGTAGCCTCCATTGATCAATTTTCAACAGCATTTGTCCTCATTAGGGTCGCCAGTAAGCCAATTCGAGCTGACTTTGGAGGAGGAAAGGTACACTCCGATATGGGACCCCAGCTCATCTCAGGACACATACAATCTGGATTAAAAAGCATTCAGATTCAACCACTTTCTGTCCGTCAAATAGTACAGAAAGGAGACATAATACTTGGGTGCCAGGTCGTTTTCTAGTCAACGGGCTAGGAATAATTAAAAAGTACAATGTAAGTTTACGAATTTTCGTTCCACAAAAGATGAACAGTTGAAGCCAACAAGCCACGGTTTTGTTCGCGTGATTCTTGTCGTCTGACTTACTGATGTTGACGCCACACTTGCCTGGTAAAAGTTTATGAAGCTGTTGTAGTGAACGCTAAAAAGATTGCAAGACGAAGTGTTTCGTAAGTTAACAAGTCTAACTGAAGTAGATAAAGACTGCTTGTCATATTAATTTCTGGGGTCGTTTGCCTGAGCGTAACCTATAACCTAGAACAGTGTTTTTCAAACTTTTCTGAGCCAAGGCACACTTCTTTCATTGAAAAAAATCTCGCGGCACACCACTAGCTGAAAATGTGAACCCCCCCGCTTATTTTAACAATTAACGTGTTTTTTGTTACTATAACCGTTTTTAACATTGAAGAATGATGTTATAACAGCTTGAATTGGAATCAAATGAACGCAAAGAAAACAGTATTTTATCATCTTTCATATTTATTGTTTCACCGTCGTCCTGCATTCATGCATCACAAATTCGCTTGTCTCTCGTCGAAACACAAAACAGTTGGCTAGCTGTTACTGCTCCCTAGCGGTATGGGAGGGTACTACATGATTACTTTCTGGACGAAAGACCGCACAGGCATACAAATTGGATATTTTCCCGCGGCACACCTGACAATGTCTCGCGGCACACTGCACACGGGTTGAAAAACACTGACCGAGAAGACCAAAACCTTTATGTCGAAGAAGCCTGACTTGGGTGCAGGGAGATTGGGTTCAGTTTCCACTCAGGGAGTGTGTGAATGTAAATATGATTGGCAGTTCATCTTTAAATGTGCCATGTGAATGACTGCCGACCAGCTCAACGGAAAGTTGAAATATCGCTTGATGTAAAACTGGTCAGTAGCTCAAAAATGGTTGAGGACCCTTGTTATAAATGGGGCACATAGTACTACTACAACTGAGGCTTTTTTTGTTGAAATGATCCAACCATTTTCATGATCACTTTTCCTCAATAGGTTCACTGGTAAGCTGGTGCCTAGCCAGCCAATCATAGAATTGAAATATTAAATCGTAAGATTGTAACGAGTTTATAAATGTTAGGTTGAAGGTTGATTTTGTAGAATTCTAAAGAATTTAGGTGCTAGGGTGTGGACACATTCACATTTTATGGATAAGATTTGATCAAATGATATGATTCCATATCTATGAATTTGTCTGACTCATTCATGTCATCTGTATTGCATGATTTCAAGGTCGGAAATATTCTCTGTTCCTCTTTTCCAAACTGTCACTTGTATGACTTCCTCCTTTCATCTCCTGGATATTAGGAGGTTATAACATTTATATTGCCCTTTGGAGCAACAAAAACACAGCCCAGACAGCCGCCTACTGCACAGGCCAAGGTGAATACAAATAAAAGAAAATCAAAATCAAACAAAAGACATGAGAAAATGGGTATTGCTTCCCGAGATTTGATTTTTCACAGCATGCTCCTGGGCTCCAGACTGTTGAAAACAGGGCAACGGCATGTACCTCAGAAGCATTTCATGAGGATTTGCATGTCATTTGCATGAGGCTGACTGAAATTTCCAGCAAAATTTGCCGGACTTCAGAATGAGACCATCTTTAAAAACTTTAAATACCAGGAGCATGAATCACTTTCAGACCCACTATAAGAGTTCTACTTTCTCTTCATCAGTTATCTGAGCTTTCATGAGACATTTAAGTTGACACATGGCTATTTCGATTTGTGGTGCGGCTGTGCCAGAGATACGAATGATTGATTAACTGTTTCCACATACCCCTCGGGGTACGCATACCCGTGTTTGGGAAACACTGTAATAGTATGTTTTAATATGAAAATGTGTATATAGCGTGTGTGTGTGAAGAGGCTGTTCGAATAAATTCAAAATTCAAATTCAGAATGGGCTATTCCAAAATCAATGACAAACATCACAGATCCTTCCTAAAAACAATTAGCATCTGTGCCTGTTTCATTTCATTAATATATCAGCAATACTCGCTGCCGCACAATGACGTCAGTTAGGAAAAGTGGAGTCCTGCTACTGTCCTTTTCCCGTGTTCAACAGGTAGCACCTTTTCATCTCTCCTTGACCCAATGACATAGTCCACCAAAGATGAAGGAAAGGTTAGACAAAGGTATGGAGAATCGACTTTCGGAAGAGGCCCTTTTTCACTTTTTGTGAACCCTGAACTTTAATCAGATCTCAATTCTTTTATGTCAAATTCAGATGTGTCTGAAGGCAACATGAAAAGTCAGTGAATGTTAAAATATATTTGGTCCTTTGTATGGCTTATTACTGACTTTTTTTAGCCAGAGTTTTGGAATTTTTTTACAATATTGTACGTCGAGAGAGAGAGAGAGAGAGAGAGAGAGAGAGAGAGAGAGAGAGAGAGCAATGTATATAGCTAAATCAAAATATATCGATTAATGATGGGAAATTTTGAATACAGTATCATTTGAAAACCATCTTGCTCACATGGTAATATCAAGTTTCCATCCATCCATTCATGTTCAATACCTCTTGTCCTCATTAGCATTGTGGGTTTGCTGGAGCCTATCGCAGCTTACTTTTGGGTAAGCGGAAGTGTGAAAACACTGGACTGCTCCCCAGTCAATTTTAGGGAACAAATACACAAAAACATTCACACTGATACAGAACATTAAGATCAGAGCTGTCAAACTCATTCAAACCCAGAATATCAACAGTGAGGTTTATGTGCCAACCACTACTTTTGCTGCACCTGCAAATTATAACTCCAAAAAAAAAAAAAAAAAATCTCAAATATAAATAGAGACAATTTATTTATCGACGCATAAAACATCCTTCACACAACAAAAACAATTGAAGATCAGGTCTCTGCACAATGCTGTAAGCACTTTTATTTCTATACAAAACATATTAGGAGCTCTGCTTTTCAAAAAAAAAAAATCACAAGGCTCCTTTAAATGTAATGGCAGGTATTCTGGAGAAAAAAAAATGAAAGCATTCCATCAACAAATATTTCCAAGCAATAAATATGCATTTATAAATAGTGTACATTTACATCAACATGAAAAAAAAACACACTAATGAACTCTATGTGCAACCCTTTTTCTCGAAGACCTGGCCTTTGTGTCTACAAATGATTTATCAACATTGTTCCAGCAAAATTAGAGATTAAAAAAGGGACACGTCGCAAAGACTGCATCACTCAACTGTTCACATTACAAACTTGTTCTTTTGTTTGAACTAACGTATAAAAAGACCAGCTAGCTGATGGCAAATGGAACAAAATAAGAATCAAGAACAAAAGAGTCAGTAGTCAGATGATTTGGAAACCTTATAATATGTACAGCACTCGGACTCCATGTTGGGAATCCAGCAGTGGAACAGTCTTTAGGAGAAGCTGCCTTCCCCCTCCAGTCCACCGGGGGGAGGCCAATTGCATAGACGCGCAGCTTACGCACAGCTAGCTGCCTTGGGGGACGCTACAGAGCGTGCTTTAAGAGGACTGACGGCTTACTTCCTAAATGACGACAATGAATAGATGCGTGGAGAGACCGTTGTGGTTGAACAATGTCCATAAGAACTTTATCATAATCAAGACGAAGAAGGCAAGGGACTCGCCTGTGAAGAGAAAACCGTAACTCATCACTTGAATGCTCAACGCGTGCTGTTGAAAGTGTTCAGAGGCAGAAGAGAATACAACAAAACGGTGGCTTTGATAATGATGTAGCTCAGGAGCTTTCAAACCTTGGGTAGAGGAGATCCCTGAGTGGGCAGACATTTTTTTCCAAGCCACCTCATAATAAGTTTTTTGGTGGTGCTGCTTTTGTTGAGCATGACTTCTGATGTCAACAAATATCACATGCAAACATTAGCTGCCCCTGTGGCTGGGCCTTAGCTCTGTATGCTGCAGTATTATACTTTTATACTTGTCAATTTTCACTTTGCCACAAGTGCTCCGTTTCTTGTTGCACTCAGTCTCCCCTCAGATAAAATATGCCTCCTTGTTGGGGTTGACTGATAGGATTAATGTAACATGGGCTTTGCGGTTTCCATGGTTTGACTACAGAAGCAGTACTCAGGATCCAAGTTTGACCACAGTGCTGGGATGCAAGGTTTTGAGAAATTATGAATGGCAAGCAAAGTTTGTGCCACACAGCACAGGTAAGCACACTCATTTACTGCCACAATTGACTGTTTTGCATTTGTTTTACATTTATGACCAACTATTGTATTACACTGCTACCTTGATTTAAAGGGCATGTCAACCCAAATATGTTCTATGAAGCCCCACTCGTCTAAACACAGCATTCTGATTAATATTATGTTTGTGCAATATTGAGATATTTGGTCATATCACACAGTCCAAGTTCTGAGGAACGGTTCGCTCCCCCTCAAAAAAACTGTAATGAGAAAGCGAGCACAAAGGAAAAGGGGCTTTTGCACCTCTCTCTGTGAGAGACACTTACCAGAGTGAAATGGTCATAGACCTGCATGAGCTCTTCAACCTTGTACTGCTCCAGCACCACAAAGTTGTCCAGGTTGGGGCTCCCCCTGCGGGCACAGTCCTGGCAGTGCACCACGTAGGTTTTCCTGCTGTTGCTTTCGCTGGTTACGAAGAGCAAGTCATATACTTCCACCTGTGCGGACAAAGGAGACGCAAGTTATGAACCAAGCAGACACCGCAGGTGGGGGATGAAAGACAACATGGCCCATGTGGTTTACCTCACAAATACTGCAGTAGTGCGCAGGCTCGTTCTGGGTGCGTCCGTGCCACACTAGCTCCTTCCCTGCAGCCAACAGAAGTTCTCGCTGCATCTGACACTGCTTCAGAGTCCGCAGCAAGCAATACCTAACATGGACACATTGGCTCATGTTACAAATAGCCCAAGTAATCTTAAAAATGTGGTTGCGATGATTTAACGTTGATGATTTCAGACTTTTCTTCAGCTGCTTACATTCAGCCGAAAATGGATTTGCAGCATTGAATAAGCAAAAAAGTGCTTCATATTTTTGTTATCATGAAATCATTTATTACATTTAAGTTTTGAATTACTTTTACTCTATTATTTAATTTCATTAATGTAGTGAATGAAGTTTAGTTAAAATACATTAACAGTAAATATTTATTGACCACATTAAACTCATAAATAACAGAATTCCAGAATAAAAAATTTAATTTCCAGAAGGCCCCTCGAACCCAGCTCTTCTATAAACTCAAATTTGTCAATATGACAACCAGAATTATATACTGTATAAACACTCCGTGCGTACAATGACTATTAAGAAAAAATACATGGACCATCTGCATAAATTGATCATAAAATATTGTTTGATCATCAAAATCTTCCATTTAAGTCGTTGCTGTCCCCCCCCCCCCCGCCCCCCAAAAAAAAAAAAAAAAACAATCCTTCAAATGTTGTAGATGAAGTTTGCTAAAGAGCACTTGGAGGTTCCACAGCACAACGCCACGTGTGGAGGAAAACTGGCATAGCTCACCAACATTAAAACCTTATCCCAACTGATAAGCATGGTGATAGAAGCATCATGGAATGGGTGTGCATGCTTTCCTTCCTCAGGGCTTAGACAGCTTGCAACCATCAATACAAAAATATGTTTACATATTTATCAAGATATTTTGCAGTATAAACCGTAGCCATCAGTCCAACAGCAGAAGTTCAAAAGAGGTTGTGTGTTGCAACAGCACAATGATCCAAAACACAGAAGCAAGGCAACAGAATGGCTTCAGAAGAAGAAAATGAGTTGTCTGGAGTGGCCAAGCCAAAGTCCTGACCTCAACCCGTTTGTGATGCTGTGGGATGACCTCAAGAGAGCTATTCACACCAGACATTCCGGCAATGTTACTGAACTGCAACAGTTTTGCAAAGAGGAATGGAACAAAATTCATCCTCATTGTTCTTGTCTGATTTGCAACTCCTGGAAATGTTTGGTTGAGGTTAATGCTGCCAAATGAGAGTCAACCAGTTATTAAATCCAAGGGCTCATTTCACTTACTTTTTCCTTCCTGTCCCATGTTATGCCCGGGAAGGATTTAACCAAAATTTTACTTTAAATTATTTTTAAAAAAGTTTAGTTTTGTAAAAGAGAGGAAAAAAAAATTAAGACACATTGGCATGGTAATACTTCAAAGTGTTCCACCTGTCAGCTGATAAATAACAGCACAATAGTTTAAAGAGTTATAATTTTCAGCACATTTTAACCCCTGGGAATGAATCAATTCCAAGCACCACAGGCCACTGCAGTCAATGCACCACAATCGTGTAAATATCACATCACCATGAGCTAAAACGGAAAGGAAAGTTTTTTGACAGGTTCTCACTTGATCATCTCAAAGAGCTTGTGGTCGGACACTTTGATGTTTCTCGCAAGGTTCCAGGAGAGGTGGATCATGGGAACAATGGACTTGACGCTCTGCAGTTTGTTCCACTCGTAGCGCTCCACTGCCAACTTGTACTGATGGGCTGGCGACATTATTAGATAAAACATCTCCGTTACAGCTTCAAAAACACGACCATAATTGGGATCAACCAGTCCTGTTGAGAGTGCTGCCCTCACCTGTGAGAGGTCCCACATTCCACGCAATGTTGTTGCACCAGCCAATAGCCTGCACCCAGTGGATAGTGCCCGTGTTGAGCCACACCAGGTCGCCGGGGCGCTGGATGAAGCGGTACACAGGCACGTTGGTCGCATACAGGTCTTCCAAGTTCGGCCACCAGGAGCCCATCAGGAAGTTGATGTTGTTCCTGTCATGGAATCCTCCAAAAGTCAGCATGAAGACTGTAATCAAACTTCGAGCAAGCAGTAAATTAGCTTCTGACGCACCTTTCGCAGAAGCTGTTGATGACACCCCAGTATGGTTCAGGCACAGCAAACCACTCGCAGTCGCCAGGGCCGATGTTGATGTTCACAGAACAGAAGTTATTGTTTTCTTGGTGACCTAAAATAACCACACGAGCGCTTATTATTAGCAGAAGTGACCAAAAATTATACGTGATGATTTATTATCCTAGTCCCATGTTTACCTGGTGTCCTGCTCCCCGGAACCTTCATGTAAAGCTGCACCGTGTTCATGCCCAGGATGGTGTGTCCCACATGGCTAAGCAAGTTGCCGGCCGATACCACCCGGGCAAAGGCCGGCAGCTTGGTCAGCTCCTGGAGCTGCTGCTTCCATCTAAAACCGAGGAGAACATGACAGAAAGAATCAGAAAACTACAAATGCATAGCAAGAACAACCACAATGCATACCATCGGACCCCTTCGCATTTGGCAATAAAGTTGTACTTGACTTGACATCCATCCATTCATTTTCTGAACCGCTTTATCCTCACAAGGGTCGCGGGGGTACTGGAGCCTATCCCAGGCGTCTTCGGGCAGTAGACGGGGGACACCCTGAACCAGTTGCCAGTCAATCGCAGGGCACACAGAGACGAACACCCATCCACACTCACACCTAGGGACAATTTGGAGTGTTCAATCAGCCTGTCATGCATGTTTTTGGAATGTGGTAAGAAAGCGGAGTACCCGGAGAAAACCTACGCAGGCACGGGGAGAACATGGAAACTCCACACAGGGAGGCTGGAGCTGGAATTGAACCCGGTACCTCTGCACAGTGAGGTCGACGCACAAACCACTGGACGACCGGGCCGCCCTCTTCGCATATGTGTACTCCAACACGCAACTTAAAGAAAGCCCACTTAGGGTGCAATTAAATAATGTGAATACAGGTCAACTGAAATTCTTTGTTGATGTTTTATCTACTATATAAATAAAAATAGTTGCTACTTGAGCTCATTTTAATTTCTTCAATACTGGCACGTATTTGACAAAATTGATGGAAATACAATTTTTGGGTGTTATATCTCAAGTGCTGTGATATTTATTCCATTCTCTTTCAGGCTTTTCCAAATTAGGGTCATGGGCAAGCTGAAGCTTATCCTAGCGACACTGGGTGAAAGCTGAGGCATTTCCTGGACTGTTGCCAGCCAATCACATGACACAAAGAGTCAAACAACCATTCACACTCAGATTCACGTCTATGGACAACTTATAGCGATTTTCCATGAGCCCGGTTCCTCACCGAAACGGCCCTGTGGCCTGAGTGGTTGCTTTTGCATTACTTTTTTTGGGGCAGAGCGGTTACAATGGAACGCTTTTCAGAACCATCTTGGAGGTGGTTCCAGAGCACGAAACCGTGCAGGGCCAAGTTGTCACTGTCATCTGATTGGCTGCACATGCCAAAAGGAAAAAAAATATAGAGAAAAAATATAGAAGAGATAGCACTTGGGAGGGAGACTGACTGATTGTCCATTAATCTGGAAAGTTATGAGTATTGATGTTATCTCTGACTTTAATTTATCCTCGTGCACATTTCGTGGTGGTAGTAGTAATTTAGCCATGCAGACTCTTTATTTATTATGTGAGGCAATGATGTGACATGTGAATGAAAAGAAAAAAAAAAGTGGACTTCACCCAAAAATCCAAATTGACCATTAAGACTCATAGTGTGAACCGAGCCATAGTTGAAAACAAGATTCTCAGTGTTCCAGTGTGATACAATAAACAATATCTAACATGTTCATTTTTCCACATACTTCTTTTCATCCGAGAGGTCTATGTTGGTGCCAAACTTGATGTGCTTGAAAGGACATTTCCTCCGCCGACTGACACAAGAACACCAGCGTTAGTAACAGGAACAAGAAAATGGTTGACCCCATTAAGGCGGGCAAAGGAAGACACCTACCTGTCAGATGAGGCTGCCTCTGCTTCCATCTCCTTCTTCTTTTCATTTTCCTCCTATTTCGGAAAATCAATGTCAACTAGAGCGTACACTTTGTGGACAAAAGTATGTGTCCCAACAGGTGGCCTTTCCAATGGTAGGAAATGAAAATGGAAGACAATTTGGACGACCGTGTTACTACTGACCCGTAGCGACTCTTGGAATGATGAAGCCTGGTACTGGGCGTACTTGATGATCGTGGTGTGTGAGCGGCTGCTCTCACAGCGCCACATCTTGCGGCTGCCACTGGGGTCCCAGTTCTCATCCGTGGGCTGGGCCAGCTGGGTGCGCACTTCCACCAGATGGTCGGGATTGGCCTCCACAAGCGTCTTGGTGGAGAAAAGGCCCAAGTCTATACAGAACGAAAGGAACATGGAGGCACAGTCAAGCATTGATATCTGCGTCTGTTAGCTTTAAACCATAGAGTTTAACATGAAATGATTTTTTTTAATTACGTACTAAAATCAATGGATACTAATATTCTAAAAAATAAATCAATCACAAAATTATTACAATATTTATTTCATACTGACATTCCAACAATTCACACATGCCGATGCTTTTTTTTTTTTTTTTTTTTAACAACAGCAGCAGTCCCCGTGAAGTTTTTTAAATTCTATGTTGGACAAAGATCTAAGTACACAGTTGTTTTCTGCGCATACATTATAGTGTGGCGATGAAACTGGCGCTCCCCTTGTTCCTCATCGCTGAGATGTATCTGTTAAGGCTAGTGGTGATTAGGATTAGGCGTGAGCTTTAGTTTTCGGCTCACATCAGACTCGTCCAATGGGTTCCCACTGCGCATGTGTGAGCACAACTTTACTGGAGTGGACCAGCGGAAGTACCAGTATGCCATGTCTCCAATTTGCGTGTTGTGAAAATGATCACAATAATGTTTGAGCAATGTGAATCTTTTTTTGTTTTCTTACATGGGTGTGGCATGGCTCAGTGGTAGAGTGATCGTTTCCCAACCCAGAGGTTGATGATTCGATCCCCGGCCATTGCGACCATGTCAGAGCAAGATACAGTTGCGACCTGAGGTGGCTGCCACTGGGGTCCCAGTTCTCATCCGTGGGCTGGGCCAGCTGGGTGCGCACTTCCACCAGATGGTCGGGATTGGCCTCCACAAGCGTCTTGGTGGAGAAAAGGCCCAAGTCTATACAGAACGAAAGGAACATGGAGGCACAGTCAAGCATTGATATCTGCGTCTGTTAGCTTTAAACCATAGAGTTTAACATGAAATGATTTTTTTTAATTACGTACTAAAATCAATGGATACTAATATTCTAAAAAATAAATCAATCACAAAATTATTACAATATTTATTTCATACTGACATTCCAACAATTCACACATGCCGATGCTTTTTTTTTTTTTTTTTTTTTAACAACAGCAGCAGTCCCCGTGAAGTTTTTTAAATTCTATGTTGGACAAAGATCTAAGTACACAGTTGTTTTCTGCGCATACATTATAGTGTGGCGATGAAACTGGCGCTCCCCTTGTTCCTCATCGCTGAGATGTATCTGTTAAGGCTAGTGGTGATTAGGATTAGGCGTGAGCTTTAGTTTTCGGCTCACATCAGACTCGTCCAATGGGTTCCCACTGCGCATGTGTGAGCACAACTTTACTGGAGTGGACCAGCGGAAGTACCAGTATGCCATGTCTCCAATTTGCGTGTTGTGAAAATGATCACAATAATGTTTGAGCAATGTGAATCTTTTTTTGTTTTCTTACATGGGTGTGGCATGGCTCAGTGGTAGAGTGATCGTTTCCCAACCCAGAGGTTGATGATTCGATCCCCGGCCATTGCGACCATGTCAGAGCAAGATACAGTTGCTCCTGATGCTGCGTCATTAGGAGGTGAATGAGGTAACAGTATAAAGCTACGACCTGAGGTAGAAAACCACTATTTAAGTCATAGCCCATTTACGATTAACATATCCGTAAAATCATTGGGAAGAGTGTGTTAATTTCCATAACCAAATACGGACCATCCGTAACAGTTGGCAGCTCTGCTTAAGCCTGTACTGTTCTGCATATAAAATGTACACAATAGTGGCGTAAAAAAATGAAGCAGCCGTCATAGTTCAAAACAGGTGGTCATGCGGTGGACCTGACAAAAACTACTGTGAACTGTGTATGTAAACGGAATACCTCTTACCAGACTTGCCTCCAAGTCTAGACAACACCCCTTTAACCGTTCCTCCCTTTATTTTCTCTTGAAACCACCCCTTATACGAAGCATTCCATTTTGACTCACCATCACAAGTCCGTGTGGCTGCATACTGATGACAATGAGGATGCGTTTTAGGCCTGAAATTCACGTCATCATAACAAAGCCCATAATTTATGTTCCAATGCACATTCAGTGTATGAATGATCTACACTAGGGGTGTCAAACTCAATTTTGTCACAGGCCACTTTGGAATTGCGTCTCCCCCCCAGACAGCCGTGATGATAGCGAAACCAAATAATTGTTTGATCGTCTCCTCATATTATTACTTGGACACAACTAATTGGTGGTTTACTAGTTTGGAAATCAGTCAACTATAATTGTTTGGTCAATTATTGTTCAAGTAAGTATAAACAGGGCAACAAATTTATTGCAAAATCTCAACGTTATTTCGGTACAGATTCGAGCAAGGATCATGGAGGTTGACCCATGATTTGCTTTCACGGGCCACATAAAATTACGTGGCGGGCCGGATGTGCTCCCCAAACCTTCAGTTTGACACATGATCTACACCTTTCATGTCATGAAGCATGGCTTCCTTTTAAATCACTGTCATCAGTCCCAAGCTTATGTTATGGGAAAAAAGGGCTTCCAAAACAGGTTTTAATGGGTTGAGTAAAATGTAAGCTTGGCAAAAGGCTAAAATCATTGCTTGGTAATTCATTACTATTAGTTTAAATAAAGTACTGCATTTGTCAAATTCAAGGCAGTAAATTTTATAATTTCGTACGTTTGGGTCATGTGCAGGAGCCAAATTGTGTCTTGAGTAGAAAATGTTTGAGACCCCAAATCTGAGGAAGATCATGAACAGCATCTCCCCTTGATTAACTCGGACATGCAGTAACATTTGTTCCCAGCAGGTGGTACTGTTGCCAGATGTGTCAAATACAACCACAGCACGCCATTTCAGACATACAGTATTACTGCAGTGTCCATGAGGATAATAAATGACGGAGAGAGTAAAACAATTTAGAAAATTTAAATACATTTTTTAAAAAGCCATTAGGTAGTTTCTTACCCAGTTTGAGGGCTCCTGCCAGGCCCCTGATGACAGTCACAGGGTTGGCAGGGTTGGTGCAGAACTGATGCAGAGGAGGATAGAAGGCATCCCTCTTGTTTTCCAGCTGTGTCAGAGAGGAAGCATAAGGATTAAATCACCACTTAAGAACCCTTTCCATGGAGGCTATTGAAGAACTCTTTTGGTCAACATTACGGCATAACATTGAAGCTATGTTTTTGTCAATGGGGACTTCGACTCACATAAATACTGGGTGTCGGTGGGTTGAGTTTGTCCTTTGGCAGGGGAGGAGAGGGTGTGCTCGGGGGTCGTGGCGGCGGGCACTTGTCCAGGATTATGCTGCTTGTCGACAGACCGTTCTTGCCCAGGTTTCTGAGGCATGGTGAGTTGGGTGATTAGCTCACACAGGAAATTGCATGAGTGTGCAACCAAAAACAACATAAATGTAGGAGAGATACCATTTGGTGATCTTGGCTAAGCATCACAAACACCAATTTGAAGAACAGAGTGGCTATGTCACATTTCTAATTCCTGATGTATTAATTTGCCAATAAATGTTGACAAATGTCAAAAAGTATGGTGAAGGTATGACAAAGTCAATGATGTGAGGCTGTATGGACACTTGTGAACCTTAATTATATGTACAGTTGAAACATGAGGTTTACATATACAGTCATACCTCGGTTTTCGACCATAATCTATTCCTATTCTGTTCGAAAAGCGATTTGTTCGAAATCCGAAACTCTTTTATTAGCCCCTGATTAGGGGCTAATAAACACATCTGCTCACAATGAATGTCTGCTCACAATGAACGTTACACGAGCTTCCTCGTGTAAGGAAGCCGAAAGGAGTCGAGTGGCGTATTCGGGTTTGCTCAGTTTGGTCGAAAACTGGTTTTCGGTCGTAACCCGAGGCGTAAAAATCTCAAATTTCTGGTCGAAATCTGATTTGCTCGATAACAGAGACGTTCGAAAACCGAGGTTTGATTGTATTATGTAAAAAGACACTCCCCCCCCCCCCACGAAATTCCTGTTCTAAATCAATTAGGATTATCAATGTTATTTCTATTTGCTGAATGCCAAAATAATGCAAGAAGGATTTTTTGAAGACAATGCATTTATTACTTTTTCGGGAGAGTAAAGTCAAAAATTTACATACAGTACAATCATTTGAGCTCCCCATTTGCCATATTGCCAATTACGAGATGAAACGGGAAGTGGTGTGCTCGATATTTTTCATATTCGCCAGTACGGCGAAAGCCCAATTTGTCCGTCCAAATCCCCCTGGCAAAACCTGCGTCAAAAGTTATCGCTACAAAGTACAAATGTCCGTCGAGAAATAATATAAATAATCCTCGACTTTTCTTCGAGGCCAGTTATGTATGATTGGTGACAGTATTAGCACAACATTGCTTGTTAAATAAAGTAAAAAAACAAAACACTGTTTGTCAATCTGATGAAGCAAGGTTTACATAGGGTAGCGGCATCGGGCCAGCGGCATAGTAGCGAGGGTTAGTAAGCTAGCTCCTTTGCTGGAATCCTGAATAGAAGAACGCGCAACTATTTGGTTGGTTTCTGCACAAAAAAAAACCCAACATCATTTCTCCCGAATTGCACAAAACATCTTTGAAACCCCCATCCCGTGTCAGGAGAAAAAAATATATACAAAGAGAATCAGGCTGAGTGGACTGTGACACAGCGAAATGAAATCGAACTTGTTTGTGGAAATTCCCCTGGCTTTGACACTTGGAGGACAGCAGCATGTTTTTTTTTCCGTAAAGTGTGTGGAAAGGACTATCCAAGGAAATACAAAATGCAGTTTCTAAATGCGAATTTAATTTATTAAGGCACCCAAAAAAATTCCAGAACTACATGTCCCATTGTGGAAAAATTGCCCGCCTTCCCTTCTTGTTAAATGACAAAGTAACTGAGACTAACGACAGTTTTGGAAAAGCTGAATTCAATTTCACAGGTAACACCCTGGCACATTTGTTGAATCAAGAAATCTCACAAACAGAATCTATCAGACAAAGTGAAGTCGGCTCCAAGATCTAAAGAAATAAACGCATCATGCCTTGACATGAATTCAAAATGAAAGTAGCAAAAAAGTGATTGAAATCTATCAATCCGCAAAAGGTTACAAAGCCATTTCCAAGACTCTGAGGTTTCAGCAAACCAGTGTCATAGCCAATATCCACAAATAGATAAAACTGAAAACAGTGGCAAACATTCCCAGGAGTGGTCGACCAGCTAAAATTACTCCCAAGAGTGTGACGACAACTCATCCAAGATGTTGTAAAAGAACCTACAACAACACCCAAAAAACTGCAGACCTCGCTGGCCTCAGTTCAGGACTGTGTTCACAACTCTACCATAAGAAAGACACTGTCCAAAAACGGCATCCATTGCAGAGTTCCCAGGCAAAAACCACTGCCGTCCAAAAAGAAAACAAAGGCTCGTCTCACATTTGCCAAAAAACATCTTGATGATCCTAAATACTTTGGGGAAAAAATTCGGTGGACTGATTAGTCAAAAATTGAACGTTTTGGGAGATATGTGGCCCATTACGTCTGGGGTAAAAATGGCACAGCATTTGATAAAAAGAACATTATGCCAACAGTGAAGCTTGGTGGCGGCAGTGTGATGGTCTGTGGCTGTTTTGCTTCCTCAGGACTAGGACAACTTGCTGTGATTCATAGAACAATGAACTCTGCTGTCTACCAGAAAATCCTGAAGAAGAACGCCCAACAATCAGTTTGCGCCCTCAAACGCAAGCGCTCTTGGATCATGTAGCAGGATGATCTGAAACACACCAGCAAGTCCCCCTCTGAATGGCTTAAAAAAAAAAAAAAAACTTTTGGAGAGGCCAGGTCAAAGTGTGGTGTGACCTGACAATCAGTTCATGCTTGAAAACCCTCCAATATGGCATAGATAAAAAAAAAAATTCTGCGACGATGAGTGGGCCAAAATTCCCCCACAGCAATGTGAAAGACTCATTAGCAATGATCACAAACGCTTGATTTCAAACATTGCTGCCAAGTGTGGCACAACCCATTATTAGATTCAGGGGGCAATTAATTTTTCACATTGGGAGAAGTTGGTTTGCAATTTTTGTGTGTCTAAATAAACTAAATTGGCATTTAGAAACTGCATTTTGTATTTCCTTGGGTTGTCTCTGTGTGATATCAAAATTGGTTTGATGAACTGAAATATTTGTACGTGTGATAAATATGCAAAGAACACAGAAATCAGGAAGGGAGCAAATACTTATTCAAGCACTGTACATCATCACACAGACAAAACATGCATGCCAAAATAAAATAAACACTGAAATCATGAATCACATTAATATCACAATAAAACTTGTTGAAATAAATATTGAAATACTGATATGGATGAACAGATAGTGACAGAATTCCTGAAATAGTGAAATAAATGTATTTAATGATGTATTCATCTAGTTTTGGAACTCGAGAAATGATGAGTAGAAATGTGTTTAATAGGCTAACCATTTATTAATATACGTACAATTACTGTTCCAAAATATTCAGAATAGGTAAATAAGTTTTATTTTTATTCTTTTTTTTTTTTTTTTAAATCAAATAGTGTGCATTTCTGTGTGTGTGCAGGCTAGTGTCACTTCTGTCTTTTTAGATGCCATGTGCAGGTCGAAACGTGTAACCACAGATGGGAGTGGAAAAATAGGGAGGATCATACCTGCACGCTTTGAGCACATCGCTGGAGCTGGGATAAATGGAAACAGAAGTCCAGGGAGCCAGACCAGCGGGGGCCAAGTGTCTGTGAAGGGCCCCTTCAGAAGTCCCCACCTTTTGCGGGCTACGAGAGTCCTCCTTCCCATTCACTGTGGGCCCCTGACTATCAGTCTGGCTTTTAAGGCAGGAGAGGCTATTGCTGGAGTGCACAGCGGTAGTGGTGGTGGTGGTGGTGGTGGTCGTGGTGGACATTGGCGAGGATGCTAAGACGTGGTCCGAAACAGCATTGGCAGCATCCACATGGACATTGTTGATTTTCTCTGAGAAAGGCCCTCCGTGGTTACTACAGTTATTATTATCGTCATTCGTGGTGGTGGTGTTGTTGGCTTTTCCCTTTAGCAAGGCTGAGAATGGAGGATTGTCTAGAGTAGGCGCACCGGAGGCTGGAGAGCCAGGTTTGTCCGTCACCCGCAGTTGGATGTGATTAGTCAATCCCTGTGCGGGAGTGGCACTGGGGGGACTTGGGATTACCCCTGTGGTGGTGTCGGGACCTAACGGCAGAGTGGCACCTGCTCCCGTGTTACCCCCGGAAGGCGCATTGTCTTTGGTGTGGAGCCCTGAGGTAGTGGTGGAGTGGGGAGGCGAGGACAAGTGGTTGGGGGTGGACCTGGGGGAGGTGGGGGATAAGGAGGAGGCGGAGGACGAGGCAGTGCAGGGCCCAGAAGAATGTCCCACCTGATTGAGAATAGCCGAGGAAGAGAATGCGGTCTGAGGGAAGGAGGAGGAGGAGGAGGAAGAGAAAGGGGGTTCTCCATTGGGACCTGCCGAATGTGAACCTGGACCTTTGTGAAGCCCCTGGACAAAGAAGAAGCACACTTAATCAACCGCAAAATTTAACAAATATCTCCCTTGAGTTCTGAAAATATGAAGTGGCTTGGGTTGCTTTTTATGACATTTGTTTTTGACTTTTTCAATTCCTGAATTGCGAGTGAGGTTTTGGGAATTCGACGTGTTCAAACTACCATTATGTAAGACCTCGCCATATCTCACATTAGATCAGTTCAGCACACACCAAAGAATAATACCTTCATGGATGCGATATACACACACACACACACACACACACACACACACACACACACACACACACACACACACACACACACACACACACACACAAAACAAGTGTCTTTTCCCCTCTAAAGGCGCATATTCCAAGAGGAGTAGCCTCACCACATGGTAGAGAAGACTGTACGCAGAAAGTTACATGCTTGCAGTCAAAGCAAGAGGACTCTCCATACCATATTATTTGTGGGACAAATAAAGGATATCTTATATGCAATGTCACATATCAGCATTCACGGCCTGATTCAACAGACACAAAATCAATTGCCTAAGCAAAAAGATGTGGAAGATGATCTACCAACCATGCTAAACTGTCATGCATTTCACTTTGCACATTCTGGGAGGAGTTGACACACATACATTAATTTAACCAACATAAAATTAACAGAGCGCAAATCAGTATGATTCATGTTAATTTACCTTACGAGCATATCATTAGCCCTGCGGAGGTCTAGGTATCTTAATTATGACTTTTGTCAAATTCGTTGCTTGTTTTTTACCAAGGGACAAGTACAGTACATGCCCTCGACCGTAATTAATATATCCAGGGGGTGTTTTATCAGTGTTGGCACGGCTGGTGTACTGCTCCTCGTGGAGGGGTCAAATGAAGGAAATTTGTGTCTTTGAGGTGTCTTGATTTTCGTTTGAACACTTTCAAAACTTCTCGTAGGACGTTTTGCCGGGGAATGAATGGAAAAAAAAACAAACAAAAAAAAAACGGATAAAGCAATGACGGAAGTGGGTTTCCGTCTGTCACCTTCATCACTTGTTAACTGACTGGAGAGGGAACCAAAGACACGCGACTGAATGTTGATGAGATGACGCACGTAAAAAAAATAAAAAAAAATAAAATTAAAAAAAAAGGCATGTATATGACAATTTATCAAGTCCAGAAAAAAAAAAAAAACAATTGTGTCCATTTTATTTATCGAACGTTAAGTCGATACAGTAATTATCGTGAAAGGCCTACTTCAGGTTTCTTCCCAAGAGGGTGGTTTTGCTTGCCTCCCTCGCCTTATGTAGGGTTCAGTTAAGGCCAAATTGGTCTTTTAAGTGAGAAGTGTGATCTATAAATAATATTCACTTGGATTGACTAGTGTACCCTCTGCCCCAACAGAGAAAATGGTGGTTTACCTGAGTGTTAGCGTTGCTATGTGGGCTCCTCCATGTCTCGTCTGGATGAGCGGGACTCGCGCTGCTGGTGCTTGGGTGACTGACGCCTGTGCAGTTGTGAGGTAGAGAGTTCTGCTGCGCGTAAGGCACGTTTCCGTTACTTGTGCTGCCACCTCCTGACACCGCAGCGTGGTCCCCTGCTGGGGACCTGGTGTCGAGCGGCCCAAATGAGGGACTTGAGCATGACCCGTTGGCCGTGGGCTGAACAACACACGGCGGTCTGATGGCTGCATGGTTCTGGGGGGAGGAATGGGGGAGGCCTTCACGGCAGTTGGGGGATTTGGCCTGAGGACCATTAGGCAGGCTGGGCTGCAGCTGGGCACCCGCCATTGCCTGCTGCCTCAGCTGACAAGGCAAGATGGAAAGACTGAGAAATTCTGAATACGTGCACTGTATTTTTTTTAATATTGCAAAAGTCAAAATGTGTACCTGCTGCTGATGCTGCTGCATGAGTGAAAACTGGTTCTCCAGCTGATCCAGCATCTGCACCTGGAAGGGCTTGAGGATGGCTCTGTTGGTTCGCAAGTGTTCCAGAAGCTGCATAGACCACATTTTTATCCCTTTTCATGTCAAAATCTATACAGACATCATATTAGAAGATGAAATTAAATGAGATATTCTTGATTGTATTGTAAACATGCAATTTTCTTTTACTGCCACTAGGGGACCTTTTGTCAACATGGCCAATAGATCAGATGTCCCCAAGTCTAGAGTAGCCATTCAGGTCAAGAAAATGTCTTTCAGCCAACCAAAATGTGTACTATCATTCACTCTTAAGCGATTTGAAAGCACAAACAGATAAATAAAAGAAAATGTCAAAACAAATTTGAGAATATTCCCTTCATCCGTTTTATAAATCCAGGCTTTAAGACCTATTCAAAATCATAAAAATAAATAAATTAACAAATAGGACAACATAATACCTATTTCACAGCCATATTGGCAACAACAACAAAAATCTGTGAATTTGTGTTAATTTCTCAAACGTGGAAATGTGGAATGTGTGCAGGGTGTAAGAATGCTGTATTTTAAATAGGCTACTCACACGACACCACAGACAACAGGCCAAGTCCAGGTGTGAAAAAAATTGGCGAACAAGTTGTTTTTTTGAACATCGGTTGCATTGTTTTCTTACATGAATTAATTATTCCATGGTAGGAATATGGGGATAGAGAGACTTGAAAAATAAACACTATCAATCAGAACTCAACAATGAATTAACAAAATTGAGATCAGAAACAGTCAACTCCTAAGCTCGAGCTCCACGAGATATTGAAGCTGGGCTGGGATAAAAAGTGTGCAGCAGCACTGGCACATAGCTGGCTAGCGTAAGCTGCTGTTGCTTCCTTTACATTAACAGCTTGCTGGCTGCCTTTAGCTGCTTCTTCTTCCTGCTCGTGAGTTGCTGGCTATCTTACAACAGACAGATTGAAAAACTCTCTGGAGGGAGTTTGCTCCTTTCCTCTCATAGAGGTTAAGTGCTTGGATGACTTGGCATGGGACTCTAGCATCTTCATGCCTATTGTATTCAGCCAAATTATTTTCTTTGCATACAATGCAAAAAGCCTCAACCAGATAGCAATCAACCCGTTTGTGCCAAGGGTGAAAGGATTGTTTATTCAACCAAGCTTCGGTAAATTTATATTTCCCCATATCTCTAATATGAAATGTGTGGCTAGGTCAGAGGCTAACAAAAAAGTCCTTTGAGTGAAAATTTTTGTGCTTAAAATGACTGCGTTCAATTCATTAAAATTTTGCTGTGGAAGGTAGCACACACTGATTCTTTTTAAATAATATTGCACATGACCAAGTCTGTACAGGGTATCCATAAAGTCCCTTTACCATTTCAAAAAATTATTAAAAAATGCAATTGATTAGATATTTTATTCAGATTTGTTCTATTGTATTCAGCATTTATTAAAGTTTTTTTCTTTTAATACACTTCTACATGGGCACCATTAGTTGCACAATTTCTTGCCATGTTCGCTGTAGCATAGCCTCATCAATTGTGGCAATGGCATCAGTAATCCTTTGCTTTAGGTCAGTAAAGTGCTATGTCCCTCATCTTTGTTCTTTAACATAGCCCCATAAAAAGAAGTCCAGGGGAGTGATATCTGGTGAATGTGGCGGCCAAGGAATTGGCCCATCCCTTCCAATCCACCGGTCTGGAAATGTTTAATTGAGGAACCCACGAACATGCAGCCCCCAATGTGGTGGTGCACCATCTTGCTGAAAAATTATGGTTGGTTGAAGGTCATTCAGTTGTGGTGCCACATATTCAGTTAAAAGGTCAAGGTAAACATTTGCAGAAATTGATGTCTCGTTGAAGAAAAATGGTCCAATTATTCGATTGCACATGATCCCACACCACACATTCACCGTTGGGCAGTGTGATAAAAAACTTTAATAAAAACTAAATACAATAGAACAAATCTGAGTAACGAATCAATTGCATTTTTAATAAATTTTTGAAATGGTAAAGAGACTTCATGGACACCCTGTATATTGTCCAAACAGAGATTGTACCCAAAATATAAACAGTGAGGGTCAATAATATGGGGGTCCTCCTTATAATTAAAATGCATTATTATTATTATTATTATTATTATTATTATTATTATTATTATTATTATTATTATTATTATTATTATTATTATTATTATTATTATTATTATTATTATTATTATTATTATTATTATTATTATTATTATTATTATTATTATTATTATTATTATTATTATTCATTCATTCATTTTCCGAACCGCTTGATCCTCACTAGGGTCGCGGAGGGTGCTGGAGCCTATCCCAGCTGTCTTCGGGCAGTAGGCGAGGGACAGCCTGAACTGGTTGCCAGCCAATCGCAGGGCACACAGAAATGTTTAGGAAGAAATGTACACACTGCAGTTTTGAGGCAAGAAGTTGTGCAGGTTAATTTAAGAGCAGGCAACTGAGGACCTCTGGGATTGAAAGCACAATGATTTAGCACATATCTCTCCAACCTGGAGCTTCTGCGGCGTAAGGTACCAGCTGTGGACCGGATGTTGAATGGCGCTGTTTGCACATGCGTCTGCAACACTCTGCACACAACCAAAGGAAGAAAAAGAGGAAGTCAGTATATTCATTCGCCCAAACTGCAAACTGTGTGTGGACTGGGCCCTCATGTGCATCTCTTGGCATTACTTTGGCTGGGCTGGCAGTGCGTTTCTTTTTGGCAGGACTGGCCTGTAGGTCGCTGGGATTGCTGGTGCTTTGGGCTCCCTCCCCCTTACAAGCCTACAAATCCAGCAGAAAAACAGCTTGTGATGACGCCCAAATGCGTTTTGGCAGGCAAACCCCGAAAAAAAAGCAATAAAAGGCAAAAAGTCCACTGAAGTTATTTTCAAAAGAGAAAGGGAGAAAAATAGACACGGATCCTCTGCATACACCAACTACATTTACATGCTTACAAATAAAGATGTATGACAACACTCTGATTAAAATACAGCTTGGTTTCCCACCTTAAATCTTAATCAGAACAATTGATTAAGGTCTTAATCAGAGTCTTCATAGTGTGTTTGTGGAACGATGCAACAATAACATTGCATCAATGTGGTAACATGGAGTCGGGTCTTGTGGCTGGGTAAAATAAATTGTGTTTAAAAAAAAAAAAAAAAAAAAGGGTCTGTTTCTGAGCAGTATAATGACATTGCATGGGGAATATTATGTCTTGCAGAGTAATTGCAATGCAAGACTCGTACATCTTTACATGGAGTGCAGTGGGCCATAATAAGATGCTTGTCACGCTCCGTCATCATTTTTGCATCTGACAGACCCTTTAAAGATCAACACCTCACCGTCCCCTCTGAATCTACACCTCATTCTGTCCATGTCAAGATGCAAAGTAGACTATTAGCGCTACTCATTCTGATTCTCTGAGTGGCTGATGTCTCTCGTAGGAGCCGGATCTCTCACCTGCTGTGCCTGTGCAGCGTTCAAGGCCCCCTGCCTGGACGTGAGCTCAGCAGGGATGGGCAGGCTCCAAGCCTCCTCAATACTAGGGAGCATTTTACTCTTATTCTGCAGACTACCTGGCTGTAGGTTACACAATTGAGCCTAGGAGAAATTGTGTCAAGACACACGTTTTAGTGTGGAACCGACAACACAACACAAATTGGGGAGAACAGATCACAGATGTTTTGTGAAATGAAGATGCTTGATCATTACAAAATGATGAGATGATTCATATCTTGATGCTCAGATATGAAAATGATTTCGACTCGCTTTCACCAAATGACTCAAGAACTGGGTTGCGTACAGCTTTTACTCAAGGAATACAGTCTACCTGCAGCAGCTTGATGCGTTGAGCGAGCGCGGCGGTGTTGACACAAGCCTTGCTGCGCGTGGCATTGATGTAGCACTTGATGGCGTCATGCGGCTGTCCGCAGCTCTCATACAGCGTGCCCAGGTCCATCCAGGCAGCGGCGTGGTTGTGGTCCAGTTGTACAGCGCAGATGTAGGCTTGCAGTGCATCCATAGGCTGGTTCTGCTGCTGGTAGAGCACCCTGAAGACAAACACAAAATGGTGAAACTAGTGCTATGTTTCTGAAAAAGCTGATTCCCAGAATAATGAATAGTATGGATTTGTAAAATCCCTTTTGTACAACTTTTCTTTCCTCTTGTATTTTTCTGTATGAACGGAACAACATGAAATGTGAGGGACAAAGCCAACTCTTTCTGGATTTAGATGTGTCCGAAAATTGGCAGGATGATGCCTTGTGAAGGGCTATCCTGACATAATGTCATGATGTGAATGTGGGATACCATGTTATTGTGTGAAGGCACAATAATAGGTCAGGAAATCCCTTGCTTCGCCATCTTCAATACAAAAGGGAAAGGGACATTTCTAATTTCCTTTCATGAATCTGATGCAATAATTCTGCATCAAGGACAGTATAGGTAGTTTCTTCTTGCTCACCCTATGGAGCACCAGGTGTCAGCGCTGGCCTCAGACTTATCGATGGATTGACGATAGGAGATGAATGCATCCTGCACTTTGCCGATACTAGAGTAGCACCTGAAAGAGGAAATGGAGGAAGATGATGACTGACGATAATATGTTGGAAAAAACCCATGAAAAATACAGAAGCAATTGATTAATTTGGATACTTTGAAAATGCAAATATTGATCTTTGCCGTTTGAACTAAATTGCGCTTTCAGATAAACTCATGTTCTGGTGATGAAAAATGAGAACTCACTAAATTAGACCTATTGTACATTACTTTTTTTTGACAGACACTTCATGTATAATGTTAGGTGAGATTAGCCACAAGCATAAAGGCTCAGTCAACTTAGCTCCGAGGATCATTGGGACACACAAACACCTCCCCCAGGATAAGGTGATGGCTCTGACAACACTGTGTGGTATTGAGGTACTTCATACAGGTAATTGTATTGAAGCAAGATTGTGTTACCATGACAACACTTGAGTTTAAAAGCTTTTTTTTCTCCTCACCTGCCAAGAAAATACCAGGACTGGCCAGAGTTTGGGTCTGCTTCTAGAGACTTCTGCAGACACTGGATGGCATAGCTCTCCTTGGTGCCTTTATCCCCAAGCTGCTCCACCGTGTGATGCATCCAGCCTACAGGAGAACAAAGAAAACAACTTAAAACCTTGAAGAACATTGTTCACATTGAACACCGGCAGATTTCGAGCTGGGTGGAATTGATTGCTCTCAAAAAGATGGAATATTTCTTACAGTAGGGCTAAACTATTAATCGAAGAAAAAAGGATTCATTCGCAGAACGGCATGTTGCGTTCCCAAGTTCCTGATGTTCTGAAAGTACCCTGAATGCACCATGTTGCCTATGTAGCAAGCGTGGAACTATGTGTTGTTCCTAAATACAATACATACAATACATCTTGATTTATATAGCGCTTCCACAACAGCTGCAGCTGTAACAAAACGCTCCTTTAAGCTGACACCCCAATGGAGTATACTGTAAAACTTCACACAAAACAAAAAGAATTACACACATTGTATACTTAGATTCAAACCATTTGTCATTTTTAGAACACTGCTTGATCTAATGCTAAAGTCAATGTCGTATCCCATTAAAATGCTAACGTGAAATTAGCGTTGACTTTAGGAGTAAGGCGTAGAAAAAAAAGTAGTGTGTTTCCGGTAACTCGACCGATCGAGAATTTCTACGTCAAAAAAAAAAGTTTACGGTCGGCATTTTTTTCAAACAACCCTCTACATTTTCTGTAGAGGGTTTACATCGGTGCAAACTCTCGCGATATTCACGTTGAGCGTGTGCGTCGTTTGCCCTGTCGTCTGCCAACAACATTGAAACATGGCAGCGGCCGCGATCTCCAACGACAGTTTAAACTGCATTTTCTGTGTTACAGTCGCGTGCTCGCACCGTAATGTTAAGAAAATAGCATCCATTGATGTATCGAAAAAATAAAGCGAACTATTTGATGAACACCACGGGCCGAGTAAAAACCGAGGACGGATAAGGGCGGAGGAGGGCGGAGGAGGACAGCGGAGGCGGCGGCACGCCCCGGCCCCCGAGTCCGAAGCAGGGAGAAAACTAAATAGGTGGCGGCGGGTTCAATGTCTTCTTGTTTTATGTTTTATGGTTATTTTGTTTACATTTCTGATGGGGAAAAAAAAGAGATAATTAAAAAAAAAACTTTGTCCGACCTACCGACCCTATGCTGAAATTTCTTGTTACCGGAAACACATGGTCTTTTTTTATTTGGCCTAATATTCCTTAAAAAAAATTTAGATTCACACAAACGCTGTGGAAACACATACACACATTACTAAAAGGCACATTAGCTCAGAGTGCTATAAAACAAAATAGCATTAACAAATCAGACCTCCTTTCATGTCGAATTACACTACAGGTACCAGAGTGCTTTCACTGCAAACAGACCACTGCTCCCTCATAATTACTACTCTCCAAAACCTGTGGCGAGATCCACTGATCGCCATGACAACCTAAGCATGCTAGATTGGTAATGTGTTTTACTACAGAGGGTGGGGAGGCTGCTGTCTATGGTGTGACCGAGAGAAGAACCATCCATTGTCCATCCATCCATCCATCCATTTTCTAATCTGCTTATCCTCATGAGGGTAGCAGGCATGCTGGAGCTTCGGGGCAGTAAGCGAGGTACACCCTGAACTGGTTGCGAGCCAATCACAGGGCACACATAGACAAACAACCATTCGTGCTCACAATCATCAATCCGAGGGACACTTCGGAATGTTCCATTAACCTGCCATGTATGTTTTGAGAAAGTGGGGGGAATCCGGAGTCCCCGGAGAAAACCCACGGAGGCAGAGGGAGAACATGCAAACTCCACAAAGGAAGGCCTGGAATCAAACCCTACACCTCTGCACTGTGAGGCGAGCGTGCTAACCAGTAGCTCAGCGTGCCACCCAGACAAGAACTTAGAATGCTAAATGCCATCGATATAAAATACTACATCCAGGCTTTAACGGCTACATAAAGCTTCTTCAGTTGCCAAGACATTCCTAATCAGTTCTGTGTGAGTAGTCGGTTTTAATGGTTTAAATTACCATTATTCGGCTTTGGAGGTAAATGGAAATACATATTAAAATGACAGAAACATCACAAAGTGGCCCTTCAAAACGGCTTGACTAAAATATATTGTTTTATTTTATACAGTGTGAAATTACAATTAATCCACGTGTTCTTTGTGGAGAACCCAGCAAGAGAGGATTGACATAACCATATGTTCTTTCAAATATCAACAAAGGATCACAGAATCAGATAATTAGATGATGGCGGCGCCAATTTCTGATTTGTCTAATAAAATATTTAATTGCTTTCAACACAATACAGCAGGAAGCTTTTGAAAGACAAAAGTACCGGCATTGCAGAATTCCATCTAACAACCATTGTCCTGTCTGTAAAAATGTCTAAAGATGGCTGATTCTTTAACCCAAGCTTTTATGACTGCACTACCTCTGGAAAATTGCAATATATGCAAAGGCTACATTTGAAGGGGAGGTCAACCCCAAAATGTTCTTTTCAACCCCAATAGTCGAAACACAGCATTCTGATTCATATTTAGTTGTGGAATATGAGTTGAGCAGTAAAATCCACCAAGCTTTTAGCCATATCAGGGGGCAGCCATTGCTGTTAACTGAAAATGACAAGAGTTGGTCAGGGGTAAGGGAATGACCAATCATGGCTCAGCTTCAGAAAAATGGTGAGCTCTGATTCGTCATTGGCACATTGTTTAGGCACACATTGCCTCTAAAATCTCTGATTGAAGAGTGTGGCGCACGATGATTTGTTTCCCCCCAAAAAATAAAGGCATAAGATGGGGCCAGAGAGGGAGCATTTTTAAACAGATCATTTTAATATTCTACTATCAGGTCAATCAGACTGTTTTAAAATATATGACGGTGTTTTTATATATATATATATATATATATATATTTATCTTATATATATATAAAAATAAAACACACACACACACACTGAAAACTATGTCAGCTGTAAATTTCTACTCACATAAGTGTCTGGGTGAAACCTATTCCACGCTCAAAAATGCTTTGGAGATATAGTCATTTAAAAAAAAACTCATCACAATTGCATTGTGTTTATATATTCAATAAAGTCAATAAGTAATGGCATTATCAAATATCGGTACATAGAAGCTACGAGTGCTCAAATTTAATCACTTGCTCTCGTACTCAGTTCAGAGGGAAAAAAAATGGTATTGGTGCATCTCTACGACAAATAAACTACCAAAGTGTCACTTCCTGATTTTCATCCACATGACTGAGGTATCCAGTGACACTCACCAAGCTGTTGCAGTGTGGTCGCCTTCACCTGAGCAGGAAGATTCTCCGTCTGCAAGAGACTTTCATAAGCTTCTTTCGCTGCTCGGTACTTCTTCTGCAGGAGAACAGACAGAGACACGGACGCCGATCCAGTCAAGACAGGACGGTGTGTTTTATGACACGAGGCATACAGACAAAAGAGCTCCTCACACTTGTAATGAGTGTCTGGACAAACACAAACTTGGGAGGGGGAAGGTCATAGACTAAAAGGAAAGACCAGACTCAAGACGGCTAGACCATTAAAGTGTGTGATTCAGTCAGGTGGCCACCAACATCACCATTACAGGTGTATATGAAATGTGAGATGCTGCTTATTTTGACTCTGTGACCTTACTAACCTGGCCTCTGAAATAAAGAAAAAATACCATACAGATACGGAGTATTTGCTTATTTAATAAAGTGGAGGAAAACACAAGATGATCCAAATGATTTTCAGCCCGATTTTATGTCAGCAAAGGTCATATTAACTGAAGGTTTGAAAACACAGGGATCAAACTCACGGCCCACTGGCCACATCCAACCCGCCACGTCAAACTCAAGGACTTTTGGAAGATATAACATCTTCCAAAAGTCCTTGAGCCCATATTTTGTTTGAACAGACATCAAATTGAAAGTTAATGATTACCGTATTTTCCGGAGTCTAAATCGCAGTTTTTTTCATAGTTTGGCCGGGGGTGCGACTTATGATCTGGAGTGACTTGTGTGAAATGGTTAACACATTGTACACAGCACATGTTATTTTCACATTAAACCGTAAGAGGGTGCTCTTGGCCTGTGTTGATACTTTCCACGTTGGCGGTAACTGATGAAAACAATTGACGATGACTCTGACGTAAGCGATGTAGAAGAGGAAGCGCTGCATCTTCTAACGCCAGAGTTGGCGGAGTGTTTAAAAGTGACACTGAGCATGAAGATTTCATTGGATTTCGTGATTTGGAGTGACGCTGATGGTTTGGTAAATTTGTTAGCATGTTCTTTGTGCTATAGTTGTCTAAATAACTCTTTAATATGTTACGTGAACATACCAGGCACATTCACAGTTCGTTGTTTAAGCGTCATGTAACCTTAGCATATCGTACACTTATTCAGCGTGTTGTTTTCTATTTTATTTTTATTTTAAATTGCCTTTCAAGATGACATGTATGTTTTTGGTGTTGGATTTTATCAAATAAATTTCCCCCAAAAATGCGGCTTATACTCCAGTGCGACTTATATATGTTTTTTCCTTCTTAATTATGCATTTTTTGGCTGGTGCGATTAATAATCCGGAACTTCGTATAATCTGAAAAATACGTTATTTGCTAAAAACAATATAGTTCATCAGTTTGAACATTAAATATCTTGTCTTTGTCATGTACTGAATTAAATATAGGCTGAACATTATTTGCAAATGGGCGGCACGGTGTTTGACTGGGTAGCACGTTCACCTCAAAGTACAGAGTTCGATTCCAGGCCCCGGCCTTCCTGTGCGAGTTTGCACGTTCTCCCCATGCCTGCGTGGGTTTTCTCCGGGTACTCCGGTTTTGTCCCACATTCCAAAAACATGCATGGGAGGTTAATTGATCACTCTAAAGTGTCTTTGGGTGTGATTGTGAGTGTGAATGATTGTTCGTCGGAGCGCCCTGCGACTGGCTGTCAACCAGGTACCCCCCAAGACAGCTGAGATAGGTTCCAGGACGCCCGAGACCCTCGTGAGGATAAGCGGTTCAGAAAATGGGATTGATGGATGATTTGCAAATCATTGTATTCTGTTTTTATGTTGAACACAACATCCCAACTTCACTAGTTGGGTTGGGACACTTTTCCGTTAGTTGGCCGCGAGACAGCAGCACACGCTCGCTCAGTGGTGGCAGTGGCCGCTGCTGCCGAAGCGGGCAGGGGGAAACCAGGGGTTGGCCGACCTTGCCACGACCTTACTCAGAGGACATTAGAAACACTACGTTCGCCAGAAGACCCACCACCGGGATGTCTGCCTCCATCGCCACCGGGCTAGGGGGGCTGCTGGCAAGGCAGTGGTGGGGTGGCTGGGTGTGTCGCGGGGACGTCTTGGCCTCGCTGCCAAGCCTGCACCCAACTCCTGGCATTGGAGAGTGACTCATGGGCCTGAGGAGCCCTCCGCCTGAACACCGGCTACTTGCCAAGGAGGGGGAAAAAAAAAGTTTACTGGAGGCGATTAACTTCAAAGAGGCTGCTTGTTTACTCTGCAAGCAGCGCATGATATTGTGCGCTGCATAGAAGTCCCCTCAAAACACAAGAGCAGCTGATACCGGTGACATTATTGCCGATTACTGAAACCTTGAGTTCTTAAACCACAACAAATCATCAAACCAATTCTCAGCCGATGTCTACTCTGCATGAGTCTGTGGCAGTTAGAATGGGAATTCGGATAGGGGTAGGTAGGGTTAGGCTGCGTCAAACCAGAAAAGCGATCAGCAAAGCAGAATTTTTGGACTCAAATCAGAACAAATCTTAGAATACTGTTGCGGTCAGACTTGAATAAGACAGACAACTCAGTATGTGTGACGTATGTATGTGGGGAGTGCACATGCATGGTGTGGAGTTATGCCACTTTTGGAGCGACACGCCGATTGAAAACAGTTAGCCAGCAAAGGAACATTAAATGAAACTGTTATGCAGTACAGTCAATAAAGCCCATCTTTGCAATGTATCAACTCCTCTGTCGTTTGCTGCGGGCATCTCATTCAATTGTGGCAATGATCGAAAGTTAGCCCCGAGGACGGCTCCTAGCTAGCGAAAAGCTGGTCACACCCAACAAAGATGAACCAAGGTGCAGAAAGCAACCAGGGTTCGACCTTTTGGCCACAGTATGAAGTGGGGATCATGGGTAATGATGCAGCATACTGAGTGAGAAGCTGCAGCCAAAAATTGCCAGTGTACTCTCTCTTTCATGGCATAAGTTTTCAATTTGGTGAATGTGAAGCTTTGTTTAGCGCTTTGGGGATTATGGTGTACATAAAGCACTATAAAAGTACACTGGTTTTACCACTTGCATCAAATTGGATTTGTCACATGTCTGTTTCAGAAAAGTATAAGGAGTACGCTAGTAGCTAACTGGAATTTAAAAAGTGACTAATATATCCTGGGTACATCCTTGCATCCATCCATTTTCCGATTCGCTTTATCCTCACAAGGGTCGGGTGGCATGCTGGAGTCTATCCCAGCTGACTTCAGTAGTATGCGAGGGACACGCTTAACTGTTTGCCAGCCAATCGCAGGGCACACATAGACGATCAACCATCCGCGCTCACACTCACACCTAGGTACAATTTAAAGTGTTCCATTAGCCTCCTATGGAATGTGGGAGGAAACCGGAGTACCCGGAGAAAACTCACGCTGGCACGGGAAGAATATGCAAACTACACACAAGGAGGCCGGAGCCGGAATCGAATCCTGCACCTCTGCACTGTGAGAACGACGCGCTATCCAGTCAGCCACTGGGTCGCCCATCTTGGGTACAGTATACTGCAATAGCTAGTATGTAGCTAATCTATAGCTTGTTACCCATTGCATATTTTCTCGATCGGAAACAGTAACAGTTATGAAGCAAGAAGAACCAAAAGCAGGATAGAGCTAAGAACTCGTCTTAAATTCAATAGCTCTTTACTGAATCGGAGTGCAAGTTGTCACAAAACACCGTTAATATTATTGTGATATATGATAAGCACTTCAAAATACATTGATAAAGCCACGTTTCACTGTTACTGAAACGGCAGCAGAAGCTGTGTAAAAGAAAACGGCTGATTCGGGGAGCAGTGAGGAATGCTTTTGGGGGGGGAGGGAGCCGGATTCTTATAAAATATGTATTCATGTGTTGTGTGGGATCGCCTGAGTAGATGTATTACACTTGCCTTCCATTTAGCATGACCATACAATCTCAAATTGCTGACAAAAAGGCTTAATTAGAGAATGTAAGCCCATTTTAAAACATTCAAGACCAAATGTCTTCAATTATAACACCATATCATCTAGTGACTAGCGTATAGCATTCAGATTTGTGTGTGTGTGTGTGTGTGTGTGTGTGTGTGTGTGTGTGTGTTGGGGGGGGACACCGAAAGGATGTGCCTCTTACCTGAATCTCATACAGATGAGCAATGTGGAACTGAACTGTGGAGAGGGAGAAACAGAAGCAGAACAAAAAATGAATGAAAATGTTCTTGTTCAAAATCAATATTACATGTTCGAACTCGCAGTGGTAACAAATTGCATCCAGCATGGAGGGCAGATAGGAGGTATAGAGCGGGACAGGAGGGTGTATGAGTGTCGACATGTGATGTGAAAAGGCAGTCAGCATGTGCAGTGTGCATTTGAGATCTCGCAGCTCTCTTCTTCTGCTCGTCTCCTAGGCAACACAATTTTTAGGGAGGATACGGCAGCAGAGAACGGAATAATTTCCTGACTTTCTCATGTTTTCTACATGTTCTCATGTTTTCTACATGTCGTGTAGGGAAGAGACGCTGCATTGATTCATTCATTCATCGCAAATTTGCAGGAAATGGTGAGTGGTCAGTGACTTACTTTCAGCCTTGGACAAAGTGCAGAGGTTCGAGTCGATCAAAGCCAGCTGAAAATGCTGCAGAAAAGGGGAGGGGGAGAGAAGATTTCAATTTCAGTCAACCTCTTGTTAGGGTACTAACTGCAGTGCTACAATACCTAGAAGGGTGGAGTTATATACTGTAGTTGGTTGGCATCAAATCAGCGCTCTTTTATGTTTCCCATGTTACAACTTTTCAAGATTATCAAAATCAATTCAAACTACAGTATGATGGGGAAAGGTACATTGTGTGTGTATGTTGGGAGGGTGCTCACGACTAACATTGGAATCCACTGACTGGCAAGACCAGCTCCATCGTTTACAATTCTATGTTTTGAAGCGTACCAAAGTATGCTAACTGAATTACAGAACCATAACAGCATCAGTGGTACGGTGTTTTCAGGGTAGTGAAAGGAACCACTGGAATCTGTTGCTTGGTCGACAGACTATGAGCTCCTTGCATTAAAGGGTACTAATATAACCAATCTGAACGAAATTAACTTTTTGGGAGGCTACAATTGGGTTACCAACCACAGTGGTATAGAGAAAGACGGCGCTAGACACACCTCAGTCTTGTTTGACAAACAGCCTTTTTTCATTTCCACATTAAAAGCTTTGAAGGATACCACGCAAGTTTGCTGAGTGGATAACAGACGTCACCTCAGACAAGAGTACAAATGATCCCAACATTTGTTACTGAATCGGAGTGCAAGTTGTCACAAAACACCGTTAATATTATTGTGATATATGATAAGCACTTCAAAATACATTGATAAAGCCACGTTTCACTGTTACTGAAACGGCAGCAGAAGCTGTGTAAAAGAAAACGGCTGATTCGGGGAGCAGGGAGGAATGCTTTTGGGGGGGGAGGGAGCCGGGTTCTTATAAAATAATTATTTGTTTTTTTTGGGGGGAGGGGGGGTCAGATGATGATGATGACGATGATTTTTTTTTTTTAATATGCATTTTTTGCCTTTGTCCTAAAAAGTCCGTCATGAGCACTTCTGGCTGCGAAACCCAACCCAGCTTGTCAACTTCTTGGCTGAAGTCGCAATGATTGTTTCTTTAGTTTATTTTCTATTTTTTTTCCCCCCACCAAATCAGATCCACCTTGTGACAAGTTCTCCTCCAGTCATTTGTGGTTAGTGTGTGTGTGTGTGTGTGTGTGTGCGTGGTGTGTTGTTTTTGTGTGTGTGTGTGTGTGTGTTTGGGGGGGGACACCGAAAGGATGTGCCTCTTACCTGAATCTCATACAGATGAGCAATGTGGAACTGAACTGTGGAGAGGGAGAAACAGAAGCAGAACAAAAAATGAATGAAAATGTTCTTGTTCAAAATCAATATTACATGTTCACCCCATAGAACTCGCAGTGGGAACAAATTGCATCCAGCATGGAGGGCAGATAGGAGGTATAGAGCGGGACAGGAGGGTGTATGAGTGTCGACATGTGATGTGAAAAGGCAGTCAGCATGTGCAGTGTGCATTTGAGATCTCGCAGCTCTCTTCTTCTGCTCGTCTCCTAGGCAACACAATTTTTAGGGAGGATACGGCAGCAGAGAACGGAATAATTTCCTGACTTTCTCATGTTTTCTACATGTTCTCATGTTTTCTACATGTCGTGTAGGGAAGAGACGCTGCATTGATTCATTCATTCATCGCAAATTTGCAGGAAATGGTGAGTGGTCAGTGACTTACTTTCAGCCTTGGACAAAGTGCAGAGGTTCGAGTCGATCAAAGCCAGCTGAAAATGCTGCAGAAAAGGGGAGGGGGAGAGAAGATTTCAATTTCAGTCAACCTCTTGTTAGGGTACTAACTGCAGTGCTACAATACCTAGAAGGGTGGAGTTATATACTGTAGTTGGTTGGCATCAAATCAGCGCTCTTTTATGTTTCCCATGTTACAACTTTTCAAGATTATCAAAATCAATTCAAACTACAGTATGATGGGGAAAGGTACATTGTGTGTGTATGTTGGGAGGGTGCTCACGACTAACATTGGAATCCACTGACTGGCAAGACCAGCTCCATCGTTTACAATTCTATGTTTTGAAGCGTACCAAAGTATGCTAACTGAATTACAGAACCATAACAGCATCAGTGGTACGGTGTTTTCAGGGTAGTGAAAGGAACCACTGGAATCTGTTGCTTGGTCGACAGACTATGAGCTCCTTGCATTAAAGGGTACTAATATAACCAATCTGAACGAAATTAACTTTTTGGGAGGCTACAATTGGGTTACCAACCACAGTGGTATAGAGAAAGACGGCGCTAGACACACCTCAGTCTTGTTTGACAAACAGCCTTTTTTCATTTCCACATTAAAAGCTTTGAAGGATACCACGCAAGTTTGCTGAGTGGATAACAGACGTCACCTCAGACAAGAGTACAAATGATCCCAACATTTGGCACTGTCCTTTTAGGGCACCAAATTCAGAACATTTTCATGTTTACAAGTTACAAAGTAAAGTTAGCAAAACAAACCAATCCAAAACACACCATTTTTTTGTCACCTGTTGTTGTGTTAATACCCAAAGACAGTATATAGATTGGGTGCTACACAATCAACGCCTGAAAATGAATAACTGACCTAATCTATACTGATTTTTACCACCCATTGGTTGGGGAACCAACTCCAGTGATATGATATTGAAATGCTGCTAAAGACACACCGATTGATGGACTGTCACAGCTCAGCCTTTATTTTTATTTAATTTTTTTGAAGCCCAGACTGTTGGGGCACCAACCACAATGGTGCAGTTCGGCTCGACCCTCTCTTCGGTACAACATTACTGAAATCACAACTCGTTGAATGGACCAAAAGTCCCACAAAAACCATACATCTGGGCCAAAGTATTCCCAAAAAATAGAAGGTAACAACCGTCATGGCTCACCTGTTTACTGGTTTTGGTCATGAGCCCGAAAGCACTGTGATGTCATTTTGATTTGGCAAGTAGTAAAATGAGAGATGGATAAAACAGGTGCCTTCTGCAGCTTGACTTCCCCTTTCCAAAATACATGTTTTCCATGCAAAATGTATGAAAATGTATGCTGCATTAAATCTTTTTATTTTTTGGCCACAATTTTTTAGAGTTTTTATTTTTGTTGCCCCACCATGTTTTCATTATTATTACGGTCCCCAGTTTTATATTAAACATACCAAAATATGGTCGCTGATTGCATTCTATTGAAACTTCATGTATTTTAGAGTCCTGGACACCAACAACAACACAGTAGTGACATCAGAGAGTAAAAACAAAACGCCTTCCATAACAGACCAGATTTGTTCAGCAACTGCGAACACATGCGTCAACAGAAAGTCAGCCATTTTGGCTCCGGTGGCTGTACTTAAAACTCCTCCTTGTGTGTTCACCCCACGGTAAACATATGTGAACCATGTATACAGGAGAGATGGGCACATTTTGAAGCTTTTCTCATAGCGCGTGGGTGGAGAATGGTGAATGGTTTGAGAAATAGCCATGAAAAATCCACCCAGCCAAATTGGGCGTGGGGGTTTGGGGCCCCTTCATCGCTGCTTTGATGGTTTTTAGAATTGCATGGCGGCGTGTATCAAATCCTCTGGAGAGAGGCCATAAATGGCCCACATGCCATAGGCTGCCCACCAATGCGTTAGACAATGCAAGCGTGGTGCTGTATCTGGGTCAGGTGGAGACAGAATACATTCTACTGGCTTCGCTCACTTGCCACTCAAGATTCACAGTTACACTCTGTATCGCAGATATTGAAACACCAGGCATTTTATTCACAGAAAGGCCCGACAATGTCACAAGAGGCAGTGACGGCCACACAGATAATCAACAACCGGAATGCATGAGGGCCTGCGGCGCCTAGCACGTGTGCACACAGAAGCGTGCACACACCAGCTTTAAATAAATTGCCTCACAGACTCACAATGTTACTTGTCACAATCAGACATGCACAAAAGTGTTACCTATGTTACGGCGGCTCGTCAGCCTCCCCGAGGAAGCCTTCGCGCATCCTCCTGCAGATCCCTCCTGTCCTCACCTTCCTCCTCGTTCACACTTTGGCTGATAATGCGGCACTGACTGTTAGCTTGACATTCCACCTCCCTCCTCATATCTTTTGCCTTTCTCTCTCTCACTCGCTCTTTTGCTCACTGCTGTCTTACTTCCCTTTGCCCCCTCCTCCTCCTCTTCTCATCTACTCTGGTGTCAGTGATTGCTATTCAGCTGCAGTGGTCGGTGCAGCGAGAGAAAGAGATGACACAGAATATTACCTCAAAGCAGCTACACCAGCTCCGGTTTATTTCCCTAAAAATAAATGACGCACCTCATGCATCTCATTTGTTACATTAACTGTCACAATCACTATTACAAATGTTAACCCACAAGACATAGCACATATACATTTATTCACACTAACAAAACGCAAAGCCGTGAGGAACCCACTGTTAAAAATATCCTGAGAACAAAACTTCAATTTCATCACAATTCCGGAAGCAGTGGACATTGGCACATTTGGGAGCTGCTCCATTGGAAATTTTTCTTTTTAGTTTTAAATGGTTAATCACTTTCAGGATCCATCCCATCACTGTGGCCGAAGGCAAAACCCATGAAGGCTTTCACCAGCCTTGGTGCAGTTAATTCCTGCTGCCTGGGACCTCTGTCACCATTTTGAGCAGCTACCCCCCTCAGTTAGATGGCTACTTCAGTCGTCAGCTTCCATCCTGTTGGCTCAGGTGATCCTACTTTTTCCATCTGCCATGTTATGGTGGATTTTGCTCCTCCTTTTCCACTTCACCTGTCACAGCTTGGTGTCCACCTCCAATGGTGGCTCCTTTCCGGCTTAGGTTTTGGCAATGCCCTGCTCATCTGTGCAACTCATCAGGCTTGGCTGTTGGATTCCTTCTCTGGCAGTGACCTTCGCTTCAATGTGGGACCACAGAGTTCTTTGCACTCCTCGCTGAGTCCACCGTGGCCTCTACTAGGAACTTAATTGCAATTCCGTGATGTTGGACAGCATCCTGTGTTCTGCACTCTTACTGTTATTTCATTATCATTTGCTTGTGTTTATTTTAATCTTAAAGGGTCTTTAGGTGTCCAGAAAAACGCTACATAAATTTGACTTACTGTGATTAACCACAGAAGCTAAAGTAGCCGGTGTCCTGCACATCTTGACTTGGCTGTCATCTCAAACAGCACACACAGGTGGCCTCAAATGCAAGACAAAAGTCATACAAGAACCAAATCAAATTTCTTTGTTCACAAACGGTCAACAATGAGTGACAACAAATGTCAAAAATGACTCATGATCTAGCGACGTGTTCTGATTTCACTTCAATATTCAAACTGCTGAAAATTCATAACTCCAAATTTTGCAAGCTTCAACGTGTTGTTTAACTTAGGAGATTGATTCTGCCGTATGGGGCACACACTTGTTACCTCATCTCCCATTCGCGAAATAGACACTTGCCAAACGATGGGAGTCCGTTTTATACAGTATTGTGACGTCATCATGCAACATTTACAACATCATAACTCAGTGTGGTTACAACTAATTGAAGTCACTTGACACCTTGGAATTTGATCCTGCACCATCGGTGACAAACTGTACAGTATTTGTGCTTAAAATACATCCATGCACTCCCTCAGTCCAACATCCCATTAACTGCAGTCTTTTCGGAGTGTCTTGTTTCAATCCAAAGTACTTGAATCCCAAGTGCTGGCGAAGTGGATCATTTGCACAATGTGCGTGTGTACATTTGATGTGAAGGTGTGTGATGCTGGCATTGAGTCAGAACTCAGGGCTACATTCAAAGCTGATCAAGGAGATACAAGCACGTGCCAATATGCCTCGCTCGATAAAGTGCAGCCAAGGTGTTTGCACGGACACTGTTATGCACCATTTCCCTGTGTTATTGTATTGATTAGGTATTTACAGGTAAAAGCAAGATTAGCAATAATGATATTAAGTCTATGCATGTTCACTGTAATTTTCTGGTGTTGAACAAATCCGAAACGAAGGAGCATTTTACATCTCTCATTTGATCTTGGTTCACTTGAGGTGGGTATACACTGTGTGCTCGACACAAAATCTAAAAATTAAAGTGATCACCAATGAGGTGCGTTGATATTCATGGGTAGTTTCAATTTCTTGCTTATTTAAAAGGGTACCAATTAAAGTATTAGTGGTGTGGAATGTTTTAGTCCTATACTGAAATATTCTGCTCAGTTTTTAAACATTTTTTTAAACAATGCTCAATCATACATCACATGCAGACATAAATATATACATACAGTACATGCATATACTGGATGCATATATATGTACCTGTATACACATACACATTCATATATATACAGAGGTGCCGAACCCAACCTATTCATATGCACGTTCACCGAACCCTTCATTACTGAAAAATAAAAATCTGATTCAAGAAGTGTTTCTTCAGTTTTGCCAGTGCGAGACTAGAGTTGCTGAACTTGGCATGGCAAATCATGCAGATTGGATACAGACTGGATGTTCCTTAAGTAATTGACATTAAATTGGACTCATTTAATTACTGTTGTACTGTGACAAGAAAAACTGTTTGCAACCACGAAAACTGTTGCCGAATCTCTGAGACCGTTTGCGACCTTAAATGAACCTTGACGAATACTCAACATTCACTACGTTCACAAACACTCGCAAACCTTTGCCGCACGGTGGGATCTGGACTGAAAGGCTGACAAAGAGTGGCGAAACAAGCGTCACATCAAGCAAGAAGAGAGATCGCGAAGCTAAGGTGAAAGAGTGCTTCTGTGTACAGGACACTTTTCTCAGAAATGTGAAATGCACTAAGGCGGAGAGCAACCAGCTATGAAAGGCAAATTATCAGGCTCAGAAAATGTCTAGAGAGAGAATAACAGCTACACAGTAACCACACACCCTCAAACCTGAAGTGAATCACAATAAATTACAATAAAAATATTCCAAACCTGCCCGAACTGCACTGAAATAATCTAAATCCCAAAAAACAATGGCAGAACCTTTACACTCGAATTGTGATCTTCCTGATCCAGACTCAATCCGAAATCCAATGATGGTCGAACTAGCGACTTCTAAAATCCTATGCAAATAATGCAAATAATCCGACGGTGACTTTGCTTTGTACAAAGTCGAGAGGATAATATGAGGCCTAAAATCAAGTAGCAGGTAGTTCCCTCCGGGATAGATCTAGACCACAGTTTTTCAAACACTGTGCCGCGGCACACTGGTATTGTCAGGTACTCTTCCATACTGGCAGGTAGCAGCAGCAGCTAGCTAATTGCCTTGTGCTTCAGGACAGGCAAAGTTTCTGGCGCGAGGCAATACAGCGAAAGCTATCTTTCATTTGGATTTACTTTTACCGGAGATGCAACGGCACCAATGACTCCGTTGTGCTTGGTCTGTGGCGAAAAGCTCTCCAACAGCGCTACGGTCCCAAGAAAGCTTAAACTTGATCTCCAAACAAAACACCCTTCACTTCAAAACAAAAATGTGGAGTATTTTGTTCGCCTGCGTGAACACACAGAGAAGCAAGCAACATTCATGAGCCCGCTAAGCAAGTTAACATGTCGCTGAACTTGTGGCTAAATTAAAAAGAAAAAAAAAATCCCAGTGGCAATGTAAAAGAGACATTCTGACCCAAAGCAGCTAAAGAAATAGCCTGACTGCTGTAAAAACTAACAACAGAGAAAGACTGAGAGCTGTGGAGGAAGAGCTTCGTGTGTCTTTCATCAATTGCTGCCAGGATATCAGATCTATGTTCATCCAAACCATTTATCACACTGAGTGAGAATAAATATGAAAGATTATAAAAAAATTGATTGATGTTTATTTGATTCCTATCCAAGGTGTTATAACTTTATTCTTCAATGTTAAAAAACACTTATAATAACAATATAACACTTTCATTGTTACAATAAGCTTTTTTTCCCATTTTCAGCGAGTGGTGTGCCGCGGGATTTTTTTCAATGAAAGAAATGTGCCTTGGTTCGAAAAAGATTGAAAAACACTGATCGAGACAGTGATTGTCTGGACATCTCGCTAATCAGTTGTCAGAGGAAGATCACAGGGAGGGCTTCCCTCAGATAGACGAGACAGATGATCAAATTGGTCTCTGCTTATCTGGGAGGTGACAAGGCTGGACAAAGGCCTCTGTTACTGCACACCAGGCCTATGCATTTTTATGATACAAGCAGACATGCAGATTGCATAAACCAAAGACAAAAAGCATTTCTTCAGTGCAACAATTCTCAATTGTTGCAGGTTATATGCAGGAAGGATAGCACAAATTAGGTATAGATGTAATAGAGTGGCTGTACCTTTAAGCTGGACTCGTGGTCTGTGTTGACTTTAAACATGAGTCCCAGTCGCAGGTGAATCTCTTTAGCTCGGGAGAAACTGGGATCAATGTAGAGCACCTCCTGAAATGCCTTGATTGCCCTGCAAAAGGTGATGCATGTTGATTATCAACTGGTAAATATGTTGCAGGATCACCGAAGAGATATGCAAACAATATGCTTCGCATTCGAGATGCAACAATTGATCGATGATTGGGTAACTAATTCATTATCAAAATAATCGAAAAGTATAAGACAATTAAGTATTGTCAGCTCAGAGATAGTGTTTAACTTCAAACGTCCAAATCTTTGGAATGTCAGTATTCTTGGATTTCTGCAGCGCTCCATGAAAGCAGACTTTTTATCTTTTTACATTAAAAAATTAATAAATAAGTCTGCTAAGCCAAGCAAAATTAGGATAAATTAGAATACTAACAGAGCTGACAACCTATAGAAATTCACTCTCAGAATATTTTACCTTAAATACTAATCTTGCTAAAATCAACGCACTGGAATTGCACATCTTAATATTTGTACTTCAAAGACGCATTCACCAAATTGTATTAAGATATCCATTATTTGTCCCACAGTGGGGAAATTTACAGTCCACAGCAGCAAGATAATGGGGAGAAAGAAGAAAGAAGAAAAGAAAACACACCGTTCAATTAAGTGCAATATAAATACAGATATGGATAAGGTCGCAGTGCTATTTACAATTGTCTTCCACATCATTTTATTTTATTTTTTATTCAGCAGCCTGACAGCAGTCGGTAGGAACGAGCGGCGGTATCTCTCCTTGCAGCGCGGGTGTAACAGTCTCTGGCTGAAGGAGCTACCTAGTGCTGTCAGGGCGGGCTGGAGGGGGTGGGAGGGACTGTCCATCATAGCTTTTAGCTTAGTTAGCATCCTCCTGTTGCCCACCTCCTCCAGAGTGTCTAGGGAGCAGCCCAGGACAGAACTGGCCTTCCTGACCAGTCTACTTAGCGCTGACATTTCAACAATGCACATACACATAGATGCAGGTTTTTTTTTTTTTTTTTGTTTTCTAGTTTTTTTTTGTAATGCTGTTTAGCTCCTTCGGGGTTGCTAATTACTGTATTTGAGATCTCAAAATCCCATACTTTTTCTTGACTAATATCCAGACTTCTCATGGGGGAAAAAAATTGACATTTCAATTGCCATAAAGTTGCTATTTATTTATTCTGTCAAAAACATAAATTAATGTAATTTTGTAATATAATGAAAGAACATATACTTTTTAAGATTTGTGTTAAGAATCTTTTCTCACGTGGTATGTACACAGGAAATGAGTAAGGTTTAGCGTAGACACATACAGTTAGATGTGCGCGACTGAAAGTGTGGACCATTACATCAGTCGGAAAGACAGCGACGCAGCCGAAGGTGCGCAGAGGTTTTTGTGGTGATACTTTTGTACAAGCTGTCGGAGATTGGACCGTGATCTTTTCCTTCTTTGGAAATGTGCAGCCAGAGAATGATTTGTGTTCATTGTACATTTACATAAACCTATTATGTACGTCAGTTTGTTTTTACTTTGTTTTGCGGTATTGTAGTTATAACAGTTCGATGGTGAAATTGATGACGTCTGTAAAGACAGAGCCATAAAATTCATCAGTGACAAAAGACCAATGGAGTTGTGGTATATATCCCAGAAAGGAGCGACAGAAATAATTTGGGGCACGAGTAAAGAGATGTATATCATTCTCGAATATTATATTAGAGTTATATGCCATAAACTCAGCAAATAATTTCTAGAAGATTAAGGATAGGTAATATTTGGATAATATTTGAAATAATCTATTCATAGACATATTGATGTGGCGCTCCTACGGGAATGTACTTCATCGGCAAAGATGTTTTTACCGTAAGTCGAAATTGTTTTTTTTCCCCATGACCGTCGTGCAATGACAGAGGAATACTGCAATTCAAATGTAATCTATTGTTATTTTGTTAGTTTGGCTATTGTGTATAATTTAGAACATGTTATTTTGATAATTGTCAGAAAAATACTGTTGATGGTCATCTGTAATTTTGATTAAAATAAAATTCTGATTATTATAGAACAATGTTGTTGATTAACAAATGTATTTAGTGTCAATTGCAAATACTACACATGCCGAATGATTTTGAACACAGTTTAGGCATTAAGACCTCATGATGTCAGCAGTGTCTGTCTGGATAAGTGGCTGGATTTAAGGTCCAAATCCCTAAGGTGAGAGGCTTATAACAATGCCATGACATGCTGATGTATATGAAAAGTGGGAGATTGATCAACAAGTCGGCAGCCATTTTACACACTGAAGACTAATTTACAAAGAGATCCGGCATTTATCTTCCTGTACTAAGTATGCATATTTTTGCTATTTACGGGCTGGCCCAGTCCCTGTACCTCGCGAATCATGGCTGATTGGCTGTTCTCTGAGTCCTGAGCAACTGTGAAGTCATTTTCAGTCAACAGCAAGTGGCAAAATGGCCGCAGCGTCAGAAAAAAGGTGAACCATGATTGGTTGGTACCTGAGTCCTGAGTAACTGTGATGTCATTTTCAGTCAATAGCAAGTAGCAAAATGGCCGTCACCTGAGATGGCTAAAAATGGGTGCATTTTGCTGCTCAATTAATATTCCACAGATGCAATACAAATCAGTAAATAGTGTTGAGACAAGTGGAGGCGCATAAAAAATAGTACTGTAAAGAAAATGTTGGGGTTGACTTCCTCTATAGAATGTGCACTGCAAATTACTCGTCGTATTTGTACCATCACAGTTTGTGCAAGTCAATTTCACTCCAGTGGTTGATAGTTTCATCATTTTCTCATCCTCTCGGATTTTAAACAGGCTGAGACCTTCTTTTGTTGCTGCACCCAGCCACAATGCATATTTGTGTAAATGCTGAAAATTAATTCCGAATCAACAGAATGTGGACAAAGTAAACCACGAACCAAATAGCAAAATTCTGCCATTGTCCCTCCACTGCCATCTTCAGGCTCCTGTGTCAATCAAGCAGTCTCTATCTAATTTTTGGGCACTCTGAAATGGGCTGAAAGCCGTCACAAAAACAACAACCGTCCATAAATCACTTCTGCGTTTTTCACGGGGGTGAATTTTAAAGCTTACACCATTTTTATAGGGCATGCAACCTTTTAACATAAGTGCCAATGTCCAGCACAATCAAGGGTCCCTTTAAAATCACCCAATCTAACTTTTGTCATAGCAATGGTCCTTAAGGTTAAAAAAAAAAGAAAGATCTGTATTTCTGGCATATTTCTTCTATTATCCTCACACTAACAAAACACACACTAAAGGAGAAACGTACTGCAGCTTACAAATAAACCTCCTTGCATTAGTCGCTGTAACAACATCAACGGCATGTTAGCTTGAAACCCTTCTGAGGCAACTCGCGCACACAAACACACACACACACACACACACACACACACACACACACACACACACACACACACACACACACTTTGAACTCATTGCTCCCATTCCCTCCACCTCCTCTTCACTGACCCTCCCTCTCTTCCATCGCTTTGCTCCGCTATCGCCCTCTCCTCCCACGCTGGCAGAGCCTGAAGAGAATGCTTGGGAAAGCTCAGTGGTGTCACCAAGTGCGAGACAAGACTGCAGCTAAAAGAGGAACGAGGGTTATGGTCACATTGCAAGATGCAGCTACAGCTTTCTGATATTTGTCAGTAATTCATTGTATGGGATGAATTGCACAATTGCAAGAAGAAGACCGCTTATCTCCAGAACTGTGAAATTCAACTCTCACATTCACACAATCCAAACATTCAAATAGTAACGTTGTCGCCATTGCTCCTGTTACCATCCTAGCAATTACTGCAATAACATGCCGTCGCCTCAACTTGGTCTTCACAGAACAGTGAGACACAACAATAGCCCCTTTTACATGGCCTTTACAAGGACACACAATGATGTAGTGGGGTGGAGGCGGCAAGCATTCCACTAATATTCTACCATCAGATGAAGTATTACAGCTGTAAGAGAGCTGGGATGGTACCCATATCCATGGTAAATTCATGGAATGGCAGGAAAAGGCTGGGAAGATTCAACATCACTCATTGCTCTCGCCACGTGTCGCTGTCTGAAAAATAGGGATGGCCCCAATGTTTTTTTTTTTTTTTTTTGGCACATGAGCCTGAGTAAGTCACTTGAGTATCTACTGATCGAGTCCCGATCAGATGCCACGACAATGCATTAAAGGAGAAATAAACCCAAAATATCAAAACCCTGTTATATTTTAAAAGTGCAGGTATTCTTTACCTGATGTTTTCAATTGTAATCTAATAAGTATTTATTCTAAAAACGTATACATGTAGGACATTGCATCTACTCATAGAGGCTGACATGTTTCGGTCTTCACTCTCACGAGTGTGCAAATTCGTGAAACGTGACGCGAATGAGCCAGTCCCTGTTCATTTTATTTTCAAAGGAAACCAGAGAACCAGTAAATATTCATCAAATATCCACATGCTGTCTTCAGTTGTAATGGAAGTAGACCAAGCCTTTCCTTTAAATAAGCAGCGTGTCGGCACAACAGTCAGTCAGTCAGTCAAGCGGACCCCTCATCAAAGTCACACAACAGTATTCACAGATTTTGCAACTCAAGTGAATACACAAGGCAACCCGAATTATTGGGCGCTTCGTCCATTTTGGAGAAAATGTAAGACTTAAGTGAGCCTTTTGGTCGTGAAAATATGGTACCATACATTTCCATCACATACTGACTGCTCCAACATTAACATAACACAATCCTGAGATCATGTTCAATCACTAATTTCCATTCATCCATTATCCCACCGCTTATCCTTACCACACAAAAAATATTGCAAATTAATCACTCTGTCATTGATTAAAATTACTTAATTAATAGTAATACATTCCCTGCTCACCTGCGTTAACAGCTAGTGGCTAGCAGCTGACGGGACTACTTTTCAAAGGCGGTTTAATCAGAGAAAATGAATCTGCCCTCTAACCGTTGACGAGACACAGTCCCAGTAGGTTTCCAGCCAATAAAAAGTGCTTTTTTTTCCCTTGTTTTCCCAAATCATTGAAATTACGGCCCGAAACCGAAAATGTACTGTAATTTGGAGTAATTTTCCTCAGAAGATTTTCGGGCTCATTAGGCCATCATTAATGCCGAACCCTGCCAACATGTTATCCATAACTTTGACACGGCCATGAGTGTGAACATGCTAATTTCTTTGTGGCAAGCAATTTATTTCATCGCGTTGAAACTGGCTAACGCATTGCTTTAAAAGATGCTGATTGGCCCGACCAGAAATATTCATATGGCAAGATTTATTTGCAGGATGACACTGCCGCACTGGCGAAAATCCACTTGTTTACAGGTTCATATAGAAAAAGAAAAAAATTGGTTCGTACTTACCACTGAAATGCATTGTAATGGAAGTAGACCAAGCCGAGCCCATATAAAAAGGAAGCATTCTGGGGGAAATACAAACAAAACTTTTTAATTGAAATTAGTGCCATTTGGTTTCACTTGAAACAAAAAGCATAAATGTGAACATTCGTGGCGACAGAAATAATTGAGCCACACCAGGGTTCTAGATGTCCGGGACAAGGACTGATTTACAGTTGTGAGATTGGACACGCCACGCAAGAGATTAAAAAAAATCAATGCCGTGTCGAATATTTTTCACGACCAAGAAGTAGGAGCTGATCTCAACTGCCCGAAGGATTGATCTCTCAAACCTTCACCATCCCTGGCCCAGGTGGCAGCTTGTGCAGCGTTATGTCCATAATGCAAGCGGAATCCGCGTTCATGAAAAAAAATAAATAAATAATGGCACATTGCCTTGAGCTCGTCAGTTGTTCTGGACACTCACCTTCCAATAGTCCGGCTGTAAACTGAAGTACCGCTGGTATGCAGATAATGCTGAGGAAAAAAAAAAAGACACAGATGCAACTTCACAATGGTCAATGGAAAGAAAAGCAGGTTGTCCAAGACATTACACAAACAACAAACCTTTTGGATAGTCCTCCAACAGGAGGTGGAAATGGCCAAGTTGACAAAAAATATCAGGATCTACTTTCCCTTCTGCTTTCAGGATGAGGTTGTTATAGCAGCTAACAGCCTGGATAGGAGAAAAAGCATTTTTCGTGTTAGTGGACCGAACGACAATTGTGACCAAGAAATTAGAGTGACGGTCATAATAGTGACCCAATTTCAACTACGTATGTCAGCAAACTGTGCACCACGTCTCACCACTATTCTACCATAATACAATGGTGCCTTGAGATACAGTGCCGTGAAAAAGTATTTGCCCCCTCTTGTTTTGTTGTTTTGCATATCTATCAAACACAAGGCTCTCACATCATCAAACCAATTTTAATATCATTCAGAAACAATCCAAGGAAATACAAAATGCAGTTTTCAAATGACAATTCAATTTATTACAGCACACAAAAAAATTTAACCTTTCTAACCCTAAAATCTGCGATTGGCTGGCAACCGGTTCAGGGTGTCCCCCGCCTACTGCCCGAAGAAAGATGGGATAGGCTCCAGCACCCCCCGCGACCCTTGTGAGGATGAAGCGGTTCGGAAAATGAATGAATGAATGAATGAATAACCCTAAACTTTAATTGTCCCTCTTGTTAAATCTGAAAGTCACTGTGACTAACAAATTTGGGAAAGGTGAGTTCAATTTCACAAGCCACACCCAAACCTGATGACCACCATACTTGTTGAATCAAGAAATCACGTAGATTAAATCTGTCCGAGAACGTAAAGTAGGCTACAAGATCACAATAACCAATGCATCATACCACAATTCAAAGAAATTCAAGAAAAAATGAGAAAAAAAGTGACTGAAATCCATCAGTCTGGAAAAGGTTACAAAGCCATTTCCAAGGCTTTGGGACTCCAGCCAACCATCGTCACAGCCATTATCAAAAAACGGAGAAAAATGGAAATAGCTGCAAACCTTGCCAGGAGTGGACGACCAACTAAAATTACTCCAATACCCCTTTCCCACTGAAATTAGCGGGTAGTAGTGATCCGTGGCGACACGCAACCAATTGGCATATTGTCCCTTTCCCATTGACCAACAGAAGGCGATTCTTACCCGTGTTTTTGCGGCAGTGGGAAAGGGGTACAAGAGTGCGACACCCACTCATCCAGGAGGTCACAAAAGAACCTACAACATCTAAAGACCTGCAGGCCTCAGTTAAAGTGAGTGTCCATGACTCTACCATCAGAAAGACATTCGCCAAAAATGGTATCCATGAGAGAGTTCCCAGGTGAAAACCCCTGCTGTCAGCAAAGAACACAAAGGCTTGCCTCACATTTGCCAAACATTTTGATGGTCCACAAGACTTTTGGAGAAATGTTCTGTGGACTGACGAGACAAAAATTGAACTTTTTGGACGGTGTACGGCCCGTTACTCCTGGCATAAAGATGGGACAGCATTTGATAAAAAGAACATTATGCCAACAGTGAGGCATGGTGGTGGCAGTGTGATCACTCATCTTCCTTGTTGATGTACTTTTAATTTTCTAGGCCACTACTCCCATCTGACGTACGGGACGTGAAAAAATCATTTCTTGTTTAGCGGTGTGTTTAGCATTATTTTGCAGCAATTTCTCTCCATACTTTTATTAAACGGGCTGCTATTTTGTTATTCAATGTTGGATACACTCCACTTTAACACGGGTCCAGCGAGACCTCTGTGAAGTCACCCAATGACTTAAATCCGTTCTTTCACGATAAGTTAACTTAGTAATTAGGATGGCTTCTGCATCTTTCCTCTGTTAATTACTGCTAGTAATCCTTTCATGAGAATGATACTTGTCAGAAATGTATCTTAGTTGCCGCCATGAAGTCTGTCTCCTACCTGGTGGCAGTTGTGTGACATCAGAATGTAAGTGAAAGCTTTTGCTTATCGAATCAAGTGCCGTCTGTCGCTCTTACAGCTTGCACTTTGCTGAAAGTGCTAAGGCGTGTCAAAGGACGATAGACACGATATGATTTCTTGTTTCAGGTTTGACAATTTTCTATCATCTGTCCCGAAGTCAGGAATGAAATCAGGCACCAGCCAGAATGTGCATCCTTTTCAGATCAGGCATCATGGTCTGAAAGGCAGGTTTGCATCATATTACATATTTTGGGGGAAATGAGTCATGACTTTTGGACTCTGTTACACCAGTTAGCCATGACACCGCATCACCCACAATGCTTCTGTTTACTTGATGGATAAACTGGATTACCACAAGTGCACATGTGCTTCACAGACATACAACTAGAGCACAGGTGTCAAACTCAAGATCTGGCCCACCACATCATTTTATGTGGCCCCCGAAGGCAAATCAAACTTTCATGATGCTTACTAAAATCTCTACCAAAATTTCAAATTCTCATTTGTAATAAATAAAGAGTGATACTGTAAGCATGTTCTTGTTACCAAAGCCCTCATTACAGTAACTTCAACAATCGATGAATAAACTGTTATTCTTGACTTCTTTATATGGTTTCAGCCAAAACGGCCCTCCAAAGGACACTAGAATTAAAATCTGGCCCGGGACAAAAATTAGTTTGACACCCCTGAACTAGAGGGTGAGGCGGACGACGAGGAAGTTTCGAGAGAAAAACAAATAAATAAATACATACATAAATAACTTCGACTATTAAATTAATTGGAGATGATTGTGATCATCGACAAAGACTTGGCTAGTCGACGTAGTCTTGGCAGCTCTACTTGAGTATCATCAACATTCATTAATAGCGTTATATTAGTCGTGTATTTGTGCCTTTGGATCTCTAGAAAATCAGCATCAGGGGTCACCAACATTTTTGAAACTGAAAGCTACTTATTGGGTACTGATCAATGCGAAAGGTTAAAGGTTTAATTCGCACTTCTGAAATAAGTTTGATGAACTACCGTTAATCGTGTGTTATCTTATTAATAATTCATGATATTCAATTATGTGAAGACACTGATCATGTTAATGATATCCCGCGACAATTTGGAACACACAAATATCAACAGGCAATACTTTATTTCTAGAAATCTCTGCCAGTGTTTACATTCTCAAACAATCACTTCAACACCATTCGAGAAAATGTCCCATCGCTGGTAAGCTATTTTTAGAACAGTCAAGCAGGCTACTCCTGGTCCTTGAGGGCTACCTGGTGCCCGCGGGCACCACGTTGGTGACCTCTGCGCCATAGCATATAAAACAATTTATTCGTAGTTGTGGCACTTATTTTTTTTTCAACATCATCCCTCCTCATTCTGCCTAGAGCCCTTGTTCAAATAAACCAGTCTGGGAAAACTAAAGCTGTGTTAACAAATGACTCACTGATACTTCTGAAGTCCCGTGCAGCGGCGCCGTATTACCTCCTACGTCATGCAGCAGAGGCTTGAACTTTTAAATTGACAGTAACCAGACCAACATTACTGTATTTCAGGCGCCTTTCAAGATCTACCTAATTTGCCGATATCAGATCGATACAAGTGACATTTTTTTCCCCAATGTCGGTCTAATATTTATCGTGCAATCCTATACGTGACTGTATTTATTTTTTTTACAACGCACATTTTCAGCCTGCAGTACTTTTCAGTGCACGTTATGAAGCCTTAACCAAGAGTCTCCTAGAAGCCTTTATTTTATTGAATTTGTATCTCCCATGTGTATCCAGCAGACTGACATAAAGCAGTTCTTTCAATAAAGAAAAAAACAAACAAAAAAAAAACCTGGAAGGTGATCAATGTACGATTGCACACACTTGCATGTTCAGCCAAACTGTACGTTTGTCTATCTGTACTCATTTGTGTGCGCACGCCATTCCCTATCGACATTTACTTTATCTTTTTATCATGCACAGAATAATGGCTAAGGTTTACATTTAATAAGCCACCCAAAACAAAGTATGTTGTTCAAAAATCAAATAAACCTGTAATTCTAGAAACAGATCTGTTTATGATTTTTGTTATAACAGTAATGTTATATTTGGTTAGGACAAATCAGAGTACAGTCAAAACTCGGTTTTCGAACGGCTCTGTTCTCGACCAAATCGTTTTCGACCAAAAATTTCGAGTTTTTTATGCCTCGGATGATGACCGAATCTCGGTTCTCGAACAAACTGAGTGCACTTGAATGCGTCACTGGACTCCTCTCACCTTCCTTACACGAGGAAGTGACGCTTCCTTGGGTAGACGAGGAAGTGACGCTTCCTCGTGTAGTGTTCCATTGTGAACAGATGTGTTCGAGAAAGATTTTTTTTTTTTTAAAGAGTGTGGTTTCGGTTTTCGAACAGCCTTCTGGAACGGATTATGGTCGAAAACCAAGGTATGACTGTACTTCTTTACTCCAGGTGTTCACACTACGGTTAACATTATACATTTAAAAAATGAGTAAGTCATAGGTATTCATCTTGAGAAACTGGAATTTATTGCTTTCACTTGTAAAAAAAAAAAACAACAAAAAAAAACCCAAAAAACAATTACATCCCTAATTATTAATATTGATGTTGTATTTTCTAAATTTTTGATTAATGTTCTTATTAATTGAATTAATAAATTCTATCGATGGTGTATAGTGGTGTATAATGACAGGCAGAAAACGTGTCTTCTCGTCTACTGGATGGCAAAAGGTACAATCAACCCGTGTATACAACTGTAGCCAACAGAAAAAGTCACGGCACCGTGCAAATATATCAGCTTCATGTTCAATTAAACACACATGGATTTCTAACCGAGTAACATGTGTGACTAAACTGAGTGAAGAGCAGTATTTCAGTATTCCTACTTTTTACTAGGGCTGCATAACATATCAAACAAAATATTGTGATTGTGATAATGGCCTGTGCAAGATATGCATATGGTAAAGACATGGAATTGAATACTGACTTTGACCAATAATTTGCAACCTGAAATGAGCATCATCATCCAATAGGAGAACAGTATCTAAGGGCATTATTAACACTGAATAACTTTAAAATTATACGTAGATACATTAAAAAAAATTCTCAGTTATGACAATTAACCAGCTATGATTACATTAAGCCTGCTTAATCTGCAGCACGAAAAAATGTCAGGGTCATTCCATATCAAATCACCCAGTGGGTTTAACCAAGCGGATGTATTTTAATGAAACTTGCTGTAGTTGTTGATAGTGATGGCACAACACTAAATCTCGAATTTCAGGTCAATCAGAGGAGGGGTTTAGGAGCTACAGCCAAATAATTTTGATTAAGAACACTTATAATCAGGAACTACTGGGCCAATTTTGACAATAAGAGTATTTTTGGAAAGGGTATTAATAAGGAGTCCCAATCTGTAATCATTTATAACATTGGTGCAAAACTTGACCCTTTGACCAATAATTTGACCTTGTAATCATGAAATGTCATTTCTCAATTGTTATCTGAAACATAAAGGTTGCATGTACATTTTATTGTTTAGCAGCAATAGGAGCCAAGATATCCATGCCCTCGGGTTTGCAATTAATAGTCCCAAAATATTAAACTTTCAATTAATATGATATGAATATTCAATGAATATGTATTTAAACTCCTTATTGCTTCTAAACAAAAAAAGAGATTATATTTTAAATGTGTGATGGTCACATGACCCACAAGGTCAAATTATTGGTCAAAAGGTCAATTTGTGCAGCAATTTTTTTTAAATGACTGCAAATTTGGATTTGTTGTTGAATTAACTTTCCAACAATACCCGTTTTGTGAAGACTGACCCAGTAGTTTCTGAGATCCCAGGGTTCAAGGAAAGGAGGCCACGACCCTTTATGCTGAATTAAATAGATATGTATGGAGGGAGGGATGGATGGAAGAAAGCGAGATGCTAATGCTAGCCTTCTGCCGGTGGTGAAACTCATTCCCATAGAAGTCAAAGCCTGTGCATGTGGATTGAATATTCGTTAAAGATTGAAGATTGGTTGATGACGCATGTTTTCACAAATATCGACTGATAATTACCGGCCACCGATCGATTGGAGCATCCCGAACACTCACCGCATTTTCTGGGCCATAAGCTGCTACTTTTTTCCCCCCACTCTGTGATGCGGTTTATTAATCAATTTTTATTGATGAGCTTCAGGCCACCAATAGATTTACCCATAGTCTTGTCACATCTGACCAATGAAATTACCGAACTTACCAAAGTGGACCAATGAAACCGCCCAAGTCTGGCCTTATCCTAAATATTCATCAGCCATCTGCGGTTAGAGTGAACATGCGGGTTGCCTGAAAAGCGGAGATCTGTGTGCTTAGCGGTACGCATCTGTGCAGAAGCGAATAAAGAGGATATAGTTCAGGGAAAATAAGCATCCCGAGTTGAGTTTTATGAGCATGGGGAATGAGTGCCATAAATACAGTCATCTCTGTTTGGTGATCGACTCCCACCATCACTGGCAAGTGACGAGAGGTTTGGCCATGGAGCGACATCTCCTGCGCCTCCCACACCCACAGGCTGAACTGCCATGGACTTATGTGCAATACTGCCTGATGAAGCTCGTCAGCAAACCGGCCTCGTGTGACAAAAAAAAAAAAAAAAAAACTAAAAATGGCCACTGTGTAAGTAGCTGCGGGGGCTGTTTTTGCGGGGTAGTGTCAAGAGGTGCTTAGGGCTGGACTATTATGGAAAAAAATAATAATCACAATTATTTTGATTGAGATTGAAATCACCGTTATTATTATCCATAATTATTGGCAACCGTAGTAAGAATGTTTTAAAATGTAGAAATGGTTCACCAGACACAGAATCAAGCTCCTTCCATGACCATCTTGGTCCTCAGACCTCAACCACCAGTGGAATGAGCTAAACAGGAGAGTGCAGACGAGAGGGGCCAAATCGCTGGATGATTTTGAAAGATTGTGCAAAGTGGAATGGGCCAAGACTTTTCTTTCTGTATTCTCCCATTTTGCTCCTCATTTTTTTATTTTGGTCCTGTATGATTTTTCGGGGGGAAAGGACCATCAGGGGTACAAATTATGATGGGTAATTAATGAGCTCCACAACATAAGAGTTTTTTTCGGGTTTTAATGAACGATCACTTGGTCTACGGTCACACTACAGCTCAATGTCAATTTTTTTGCACATGTGCAACACATATCTGATTTTGTCATGCAGGGTAAACAGTAAAATTACTATTTTTTCAAATCTGACTAGTGTCTCTTTCGTAAGTTGATATAAATCAAATGCATCTCAAGCAACTGCAGTATGAACGCGTAGCCGCACACATACGACCTATTCGTCATCAAAAGCCCAATATTTCAGGCGGGGAGGAGTGCTTGGAAGGGAGACCAATGATAATTGTCCATGAATCTGCAAAGTTGTTTTGAGAAACAATTGTCTGAATATTTGATGTGAATTTAATAGGACTTGAAACATGAAGCATAAAGTGGACATTTGTGGCGACATCAGTAATTCAACCATGACGCTTTATTTAATTCGCACGGCAATGACGTGATGTCACCTTTAGGGTGACGCCTCAAATACTACATGGGGGTTAAAATGCATATCAAGGCGTGTCGCCTCAGATCCCCAAATTAGATGTACCTCCTCCAGCCTTACGACACTAGTGATAGGTGACAAGACGAGCCCCTACACAAGGGACCATGTTCACTTCTGTAAACAATGTGCCATGTGATGTAGCACGTCACACGTGCTTTGTGCATCACATCATGAAAATGTTCCATTCACACTATAGGTCACATTTGTGTTTGCAATGTGAGCAACTTCATAAAAAGATAGGATTTAGCAACAACAAAAAAATCTGAATTGGGGGTCACACCCTGCAGTGTGCATGTAGCCTTGGTCAATTTTATGCTTTGCAAGCCAACATTTGAGTTATGACACCACTCAAGTGAATTGAGGGGAAACAATGAGAGCCATGGGGACGATGGCAGCCATAGTCGCCAATGGACTTGTCTGCACTTTCAGCCATTTTTTGCATGAGACAAAACGTCAAACACAAATACAAAATTAGAAAAATCACAAGGAGCAACGCAGACTCGAGCTCTTGACAGCCCTCACTAAGCCAAACATGCACACAGGAATTAAACACAGGAATACAAACAGTAATTAAACTTCATAAAACAAGTTTGCCTTTATATTATGTTCAACTGCTTTTTTATTATGTTCAACTGTTCAAGCAGAACAGGGGTTTTCCCTTTATTTAACACTGAAAACTGGAACAGATTAATGGCCTTTCCATTCATTCCAATAGAAGCACAGACATCACAATCGTGAATGCAGAATGGTATCAACACAATATTATCGAAGCTCACCCTCCAAACAGACGCCCACAAACCACATGTTGAAAGCAACATCGGGTCATGGCAGCCCAGCCTGGATTAACATTATAGTTTAGGGGACACAAAACTGCACCACGCCGTCCAAACTGCACGCCACTGATTCGTGCATTCATCGAGATTTTTTTCATGATAAACTTAATATCACGATCTCATCTTTTTATTCGCTCACGTGATTAGCCCTGCTAGCGAGGCTAGTTAGCTTGGAACGTTCGCCAAGTATTTTCATGCCATCACCTCCATCTTGCTTCATCACATACGACCTTTACTTTTGGGAATACGTTCAAAATTGCATGAGCTATATGTTTCTGTTCTGTTTATAATGTCGACTCAGCGCGTGTGTTAAGAAGGCATAAATGCGCTACACACCGGTAGCGGCTACACGCTAGCATTAGTTAGCTGACGCACCAACCAAAATGAGCTGAGAACTGTCAACTTTGCGTGTAACTTTTATTTGATTTTGTAATTTTCAGGCACATTTACATTTGAAGGGTTTTCATCATAATGGTTCTGCACTTTGCAGCCAAGTAGCAAGCGTTGAATGATTTCTAATCTAACAACAAGCGAATTGTTGGCTGTGGGTTTTACGTTTGCCGAACATGTTTGTCCCTCTTTTTTAAAACATGTGTCGCGAAAGAAACGTTATATCGCTTTGGATGCCATGATGAATGACATTTAAACGTGAAGATTCATATTGCGCCTCGTTCGCTAGTTCGGGATTGTGACACTATTAAACGTGGCGTCAATAAAACATATTCGGTCTTTTATAGTAATTGCGTTGTGTTGGAGTTGTGTGGGAATACACATAATGACGAATACATGCGTGGGGTGATCAAAATAGGCATTTAATAGTCAAAGTTGGACAAATTCACGACTGTGCACGTCGATGCTAACAACATTAGCTGCGTTAGCAACGAGTGGTGTTGAGAGGTCGCTGCCACTTTATCTCGGGAGGGGATGTGCACTACTAACGAGAGGAAATAATGAAAAAGAGGCGACCGTGATGTTACACTGTGGTGGCATACCTTTAACAGTAAGGCCTTCGTTCTGGCGCCATCTTCTTGAAGCCTATGAAATCCAAACAGTGAACTGCAAGTAGAGGACACACAACACAGGCGGTTCCGTATTACTTGAGGGGGCATTCGTGTTGTGTTGTTACAAACTGCGTAAAACACATGCACAAGGAACGAAGCGGGTATTTTCCACAACAACAACAAAAAATGTAAACACCACACTAGTTCCAACCTGTCAATTGCGAGCAGGCTCTCTTTCTCTGGTGTCGTAAGCGTCGGAAAGTCCTCCTCGGTTTCACTCGCTTTTGCCGACGCCATTTTCTCCTCGTCATTAGCGGCGGCGCTCAGACTCCGCGCAGCAGCCGAAGAGGAGGCGACGGCGGCAGCGACGAGCGACACTCCGCACGATTTCATGGTGGGCAAGTTGAAACAGCAACGGGGTCTGAGCCCGGCTGACGAGACGACACGAGCAACGGAAGAGTTGCACACCTTGTTCGCAGCAACTCGCGCGGGGCGTAGCGTGTTTTTCTTTCCAAATCCTCAAGGAAACGAACCCTTCAAGTTAGCTTCCACCCGCTTCATTTTAACAGCGTGATCCCCGGCGCCGATGTGTGCATAGTGTGGATGCAATGTTGGCTTTTTTACGACAGGGTGTAATTTGATAATATCGTAAACTTCCCCAACCATCGGCTCAAAGTTGTTGTAATTGTGTCACACTGGCAAACGCACGCCGCCGCTGTCGGCACGCCCTCTGGGCGCCTCGTCCAATCAGATGCGGGCATGTGCCGTCACGTGACTGTCCCTGCTTGACGTTTGGCGAGCACGCGGACGAACACGCGCTTTTTGGCAAGAAAAAGGTCCGTCCCTCGATACCCCAAACACCCGCGATTGGTTCCGCCCTCTGTATTGTTATTACGTAATCCTATATTCGGGTGTGTAATTGGTCAGATTAGCTGTCATCAAAAGGGGCGAGAAAAGGGGAAGTTGAGTTCCGATTTAGCAACCACTTTGTAGTTTTTGCGATTGGTGGATAGATAAACGGTGACGTAATGAGCCCCGCTATCAGAATGGTCCAAAATACCAATCTGCATTTTGTGTTAACGTTTTACTTGTCTTTACACTATGAATAAATGTTGCATTTCAATTACGTGGAGTGAATCACACAAACTGTCACAAAACAACGCACAAGGCCTACATTAACCACAATTCACCTGGGTGTTATGTGACGTAATATGTGACTCCTTCCCTGAAATTCGGACTTGTGGTTGTGAATTTTGGGAAATTTTTGCTCTTTTCTTTTATAACATAGTAGTTATAAGTAATAGCTATAGACTAACAACATGCATTCACTAGACTATCATTTGATGTTGTTATTCCTTAAAGCTCAGCGAGTCTGTTCAAAGTTAATATATTTGGGAAATAAGCAGTCCCGCTTCGCCCCCTTACTTTGAATGTCAAAGTAGTCCAAGTGACCACGGACGTGAAGGCATCTCAGAATCCAAAATGGCGAAGCACAACAAGGGTAAGCAACCCGTCAAGCTAATTTCCGTCTTTTAGCACATACACATGAACATGAAACATCGTTGGGTGAAAAAGTTTATAAGTATATGATTGACTTGGTCATCTGATTTTACATCCTGTCAAAATCCACACATTCTCTTTGGAGTACGATTACGCCATGTTGGCTAACTTCTGAGCCGTACGTCGTAAGGATGATAACCCATTGTTTTGTCACCATAACTTTTCATTTTCAGTTAAGAATGTTGTCAATTATGCATGAGTCTTTATTGAATCACGGTATTTGCATTCAAGGGGGAACGTCACCACCATGTGTTGTCAAGTAACGCCACAAATATTCAAGTTGAAACAACCTTTGCGACTGTTGTCGTGCAAGCGTTACTCTTAGACTGGTTCAAGCACGAAAGGCGGTTCCTGCGGTGCTGACTCATGTTTTGAACACGTTATTCATATTTGTAGATCTGGAAGAGGAGATCTATGACAAGGTCGTCGATCTGACAGAGTACGCCAAACGTCAGCGATGGTGGAACCGCCTGTTTGGCAAGACGTCCGGACCGTTAGCAGAAAAATACTCCGTGGCCACACAGATTGCCATAGGAGGAGTCAGCGGATGGTAATCAATACATTTATGTGATTATTTTATTTTTGAAAATATCATGTCATTGAATGTTTCATGTGGCTTTTTAGGTCAGCCCAGACCTTCAAATATTGACTGGCGGTACATAAACAAATACTTAAAGGGACTATCCAGCCATCCATTTTCTATACTGCTTCTCGTTTGGGCTGAAAAAGTCATGCTAACTTTGCTTATCTTGCAAACACGTGTTTTATTGTGAATTGTTTGGAGATGCATTTTACACTCAACACAACGGTTGTTCCCCTGTTGTGTCAAGGTCACATCTTAATTGGCTATTGTTTAGCTCCACCACACAGTCACAAAGTCCTTTGGTTGACCACATATACAAGTACAGTCATTGCCATTTTAAATACTGAATAGGTTTATCATTCATGATTGCCATCCCGTATATTTTACAAGCAAATGCGCTATGAAAAATCACTACTAGAAGGATAATTCCTCAGGATAATCTTTTCAGCATCCAATAATATCACCTTTGCTGACTTTGAGTGGAAAGCAATAATCAGGCTCAATTTCGTCCTGATTATTGGTCTGGTGTACCCTGCTTAACCTTATTAAATAGTCTGTGTTTCATGTCAGGTGTGCAGGCTATCTCTTCCAGAAAGTTGGTAAAGTTGCTGCCACTGCTGTGGGCGGAGGACTTCTTTTGTTACAGGTATTCATTCATTCCCCGTTCTAATTGAGCCTTTCATGGGAATAGTGTGTGTTGACCCAGTTCCCAAGTCAATATTGTTTTCCCTTTCAAATCAATCATTGTCTGTGTGAATGTATTTCGAGGTGTGAAAAATAGCCGTCGCGACGACTTCCTGTTTGTGACATGCTTATACGACCATGTAATTAAGAGCCTTTTATACCTTTAAATGCATCACTCTGACGAACAGGTGTGACCACTAAACTCACAGAATATAATTACAACACAATACCGTTTAATCGAGTTCCACACTATTCAAAATGTGACAATACGCTGGCAGCAAAAACGCCATTATGGTTGTTAGATGTTGAGTTTACGAGGTACCACGTAACTCTACTTAACAATATGCTTCCTCTACTTTCGAAAGTAGACTCAGAAGTGCAATGGTTGAACTTTAAAATACTGTGCTAACATGTTTAATGAACAACTTGGTTTATTCAGCGACAACCGAGTAGTTTAGGCATCGGGCATGGTGTCCTGTTGAATTGGTAACAACCGCACAGTGAAGTCAATGGATACATTTATTTTCATGCGAGTTGCACGTACACTTTTTGTTGTGAATTCTTGGGCATGATTAAGCAGGACTTGAAAGGCCCACAGTACAGCTGCAGGCGTTTTGTATTTTGCGAAGTGAACAGCTGATCGATCGGTTGTGGTGTCCACGGGATCCAAAAATATAACAACCATGTCTGATAGCCATTGTTTCACCATTCAGGGGGTAATTTTTAGGGATCAGCACGTTCAATTTTGGGCTCACTTGTCACACAGCTGTACTGTGTATTCTGAGATCCACCCACACGTGTTTTCTGACTTGTCTGTCCTCTAGATAGCAAACAACAGTGGCTACATCCAAGTAGATTGGAAGAGGGTTGAGAAGGATGTGAATAAAGCCAAGAAGCAGATCAAGAAGAACACCGACAAAGCAGGTCCAGAACTGAACACATTAGTTGAAAGGGTGAGTTCCTGAAACACACACACACACACACACACACACACACACACACACACACACACACAGAAAAAGTCACACATCAGTTTTATAATGTCTCATTCATTCATGTGGTCCACTTGCAAAACTGATGAAGCATGCTCACACCCAATCATACTCATACTCAAATTGAGGTTTCTATGATGTAATAGTGTTATGAGAGGATACTCCCCCCCCCCCCAACACACCTCAAATGGATGTTACCATTTTCTATTGAGGAGAAAAAAAAATGTCTGTCCCTGTTGGGATCTCATTACTTAAGGAGGAGTTAAACTCCCAACGAAGATTTGGGTAAAGCCTCGCTTCACTGAGCCCCCGCCAGTCTTTGACAAAGCCACGCCCCTCGCTGTCGTGCACGAGCAACTTTCTTCAACATGACCTTTCGTAAAGGATTGCGATTATGAAACTGCATAATTGTAATAAATAGACATAGGGAGTGCAGTCCAGCTTGAACAAAATAGCAGCGCTAGCAATATGATGTGAGCATTTGCACAGTAAACAAATCAACGTTATCCACGGCTGATATGTTGGTACCATCAGTCAGTCGTTACAGTGTTATTTTGACACGACATGTTAAAGTTTTATTTTGGGAGATGTACGCTCAATTAAAAACGAAAAAGGCTTGATACCTGTTGAATCAACTTTGTATATTGATGTAAAATGCGTGCGTGCGTGTGTCGCTCCCCGCTGTTTGAGGAAACTAACTGCAGTTATTTGATTAACATCGATGTTGGTCTACCTTAAGAAACAAGCTTGATCATCTATAGTTGATGATGATTCCTTTGTGTGGTGCTTTGGGTTTTACTAAAAAATTTTGATGCCTGTCACTCTCAGTCCACAGAGTTTGTGAAGAAAAACATTGTGGTCACGAGCGGCTTCGTCGGAGGCTTCCTGCTCGGCCTGGCATCCTAGGCTCGGACGGATGACTGAACACTCCCGAATTGTTGACGCGTCGGGAAAAGGGATAAGCTGTTGCTCGATGGATCATCAATCAGCTGACGGCGTGTTTCCTGTAGCTAGCTGTCTTTTCTGTATCGGCCGAACCCCTTTTCTCCTCTATATGTAAAGATACCCGACCTCCACTTGAGGAAGCACTATCATTATGGGTGAATACGCTCAGTTCATGTGCCAGGTCAAAACTTTGCACTTCTGTTACACCGGGGTGTACATCTTCATGTGAGCCAATATTAAAAAAATAAAATAAAAATAATCTGTGGGGCCTCACGTTGGACACTCCTGTAATACAAATAAAAGAGGGGGAAACCTATTATAATGTTGCAACATTTTATTTATTTCCCACCAACAAAAGGTTCTCATTGTGGCAGTGCATTGTGTCAATAAAAAGTTAATCATATTTGAAGTGAATTTTCATGCTGATTGGTGTAGAATTATTTTTGCCCTGCAGTTTCTTTTATATGCTTTTTAAATGAGCAATAAGTGAATCCAAATGGTATCTCATTATAGACTGCTCATTATAATGTTTGAACAAATAAAAGTACATTTGAACAAAGGTCGAATTGTTTGGTCTGTTGTGCGATTCATTGCAATTTAGATCAAACTTTGTATCCAAGCGTAAGTACATTTTGAAGATGAGTTTAGTTAACGTTTGTTCTGTTGATGTTGTATGGGAAATTGTAGTTTAGAGAAAACTTTGGATACAAATGTAGACAAGTCGTGTTTGGAAGTGCCTGCTATTGGAAACCAATCCAGGTAACCATGGTGACCGTCAACACTTGGAGTCGTTCGCTGGGGACAGCTATAAGCACGTTTTGCGAAGTAAAAAAAGCGCACATTTCCGACATGGCGTTACCTTTTCTACCCGGAAATTCTCCAAATATAAACGTAAGTACTATGACGTTTGTATATTATTCTCTGTGATATATTGTCTATGTGTGTGGATGTACATGTAATGTAACTGGAAATTATTCACCATAAGAAAGCCATTCCGTTGAAAGTTATATTTGGGTTGATATCCACCGGCAACATGAGCTAATTGTATTTACTAGTTAAGTCACTTCACATCGTTTACGTCATTTAAAAAGCGTTCAGGTGGAAAAAAAGTGAAAGAAACATTGTTAGGGGGAAAAAATCTGAGTTGCATCATTTTAAAGTAACATTGACAAAAAATAAAAAACGGAAAACATAAGTTCCAGTCAAAAGTTTGAACGTCTCAATAGAACCCTATGTTCAAACTTTCCCATCCCGGTGAATGAGGGTGTCTAAACATTGCAAAACTTGGAATGCAAAGGAACGCAACGTTATTTTTTTTTCCCATGTCACCCGAGGGCTCCGTACTTTACAGCTCCATGTACCACCAGGCACAATAGTAAGGAAAAAAGGTCAGTTCACATTGCAAGCCACTTTGGCTGTTTGAACATTAACACACAATACTGCTCATAAATATTCATTCATCCATCCATTTTCTCATCCGCTTATCCTCATAAGGGTCGCAGGCGTGCTGGAGCCTCTCCCAGTGGTCGTCGGGCAGTAGGCGGGGGACACCCTGAACTGGCTGCCAGTCAATTGCAGAGCACACATAGACGAAGAACCATTCGCGCTCACAATCACACTTTGGGACAATTTAGAGTATTCCATTAACTTGCCATGCATGTTTTTGGAATGTGGGAGGAAATCCACGCAAGGCACGGGGAGAACCTGCAAACTCCACACAGACTGGAAGGCCAGAGCCGGAATCGAAAAAAAAAACTTCACTTCAATGCTGGTGAAGTAAACTATGTTGAATAAGAATGCAATGTAAGACAGAGTTAAAAGTTCCCATTCACTAGCTTGCAAACATTTTATTGTTACTGTATCAAGATGTACAGTATTTTAATGAACGTCTCACTCTCCAGAAAGAATGTTCAAAACGTTTAATATCCTGACCCACTAAATGAAAGTTTCACTTTAGAAAGTTCAGGATAACCCTAAAATTCACTCTAACTTTTACAAAGCTTACTTTGATCTCTTACCGTGAATGCAAATGTCCAATAGTTCAATATGTCGGTACTGTACTTTTTTTGCTTTCCCGAGCAAAGCTGAGCATCAAAATTCACAACCGGTTGTTTGATCCAGAAATCAACCTGTCAGTTTCCTGGTTCAATTAGAATTGGTATTTAAAACATCGCTGTTCACATTTCAACATCATAAGACCAAGATGACACCTAACAACTGATCAACTTTACCTTGCCATTGCATGGCTTTAAGGCTTTAAACAGGATTTTCTCAGAGGTAAGTGGCCACTTCCGATTATCACCGAGTGTCATCAGCAGGTTGCAACAAAGGTACGGATTAGACTGGAAGAGTTACTGGAAGAGACACAGAAAGGCATAAAATTGGATGTAATTGGAAATGTATTCATCAATCAAAGTCTCCACAAACGTTTTATGCTTGGTACTTTTTTTCACCCTGAAATTCACCTGTAGTCACACCTTACATTCTGTTCTTTGTTTTCCAGCTGCTGAAGGAGAAATTTCACAAATCCCAACATTTCGACTACTCGAGTGGGGTGCCTCTGCTGGCCGGAATAGAGAAGCCAGGCATCGGAGGTGAGTTGTTGCTGGGACAGCGGATCAAACCAAAATCTTCCGTCTATCCCAAAGTAGCAACCGGTGGTTTGCCGTCATGGGTTGCCTTTGACAAACAGGTGCGTTGCCTTAATTTTGCATCCCAAATCAACAATTCAAAGTTCCTATTGATAAAATCCTAAATCGCATCCACTGTGCAGGCCCTGTGTTTTGAGGCGTATTTCCAGGAAACGGTGCCAGACATTCCCAATGAGACCAACAGAATCCGCAAATGTAAAATCTACTTCTACCTGGAAGATGATACCATACAAGTGGTTGAGCCAGAGTACAAAAACAGCGGAATTCCTCAAGGTGAATCAATTTTGCTTTCGTGTCCATGGGAAGAAACTGATCTGATGGCTTGCGCAAGTATGGTGGTGGCAGCATCAATGCTTGGGTCTGTTTTTCTTCCGCCTCAACTGGGGCCTTAGACAAGGTGGATGGAATTATGAACAGTTCTGTTTTCTGCTTCAAAGTGGAAAAAATGTCAGGAACAGCCAACTAGAACATGTGAACTTTTTTTAAGGTATTAAGAGGCACTTTCGATAGTGGCAGGTGGATGCTCATTCCCGTGTAAGATGAGTTTGAATGTGATTGGTTACTTCTGTACACAGCCACATACCCACTGAGAACAATGTGCGCACACATTTTGAATCCAAACATTTCACTTTTCAGTTTTTTAAAGTGGTATTCCCTTCTCAAAAGTAGAATCAATTATGATATAGAAGTTTTTATTTGTATTTACAGTATGTACCTAATGATGTGTCTCGTGATAATATTTGATTCAACAGTGCTTTTATGTTGCTAGGGACTCTGATTCGCCGCCAACACATCCCGTTGCCACCACCCAAGCAGGAGCAGTTCTATAACGTGTTCCACTTTAACCTCAACCAGCAGATGGTACTGTTCGCCCAAACGTTCACGGTGACCAACTGTGACCAGTTCACAAGGAACTTTCTCACTAAATGCGGGGTGATACTCAATGACCCCGTTGCTGTGCCCGAAGACCCTTACCGTAGCCTCCGGGAAAAGGTTGCACCCTTTGATATGATTATTTTATTATTATTGTTCTTCTTCTTATTATTATTATTATTGAATTTTTTGAATTAGTTGTTGATTCAGAACATACAGAATGTACGGAAAAGTGGAAATGCTGTTTTCTCAGATGGAGAAAAGCATGAGTCCATTGCGGCCGTATGAGAGGCGAGACACTCTTAAACAGTTCTTGGAGTACGACTGCAAAGTCCTGCGCTTCTTCTGCTTCTGGGATGACACCCAGGCCATCTACGGGGATCTCAGAGAGCTCGTGTTGCACTACTACCTGGCTGACGACACAATAGAAATCAGGGAAGTCATCCCACCAAATTCCGGTCGAGTCACAGCATCCAAATTCCTACGTCGCAGCAAGCTACCCAAGGTGAGCTGTTTGAGAAAATGATGGGTAAAAAAAATGTAAAAATACAATCTGTTGATAAGAACTGATGGATGGAGCACTCCAGAACACTTGTTGACCATATTTACAAGTGATTATTTTTTTCCTCAATTAAATAATACAAAATTTAAATCATCCATAATAATGGCCTCCCGGGTACACACGTAAAAATACATTTTGCCCGTTCCCGACCAAGGACAACAAACGGCCGACAATATTATTAGATTGTCAAATAAGATCATCCTTATGTGTGAGGTGTGTTAGAGGGACTCTTGATTGGGTTGACCATTGGCACTTATAATATAGGTCTGACTGTAAAAATGAGGTCAGCACTAAAATTCATCCCGTTGAAAAAGTCTGTAGTGATTTAATTTGTGTGTGTGTGTGTGTGTGTGTGTGTGTGTGTGTGTGTGTGTGTGTGTGTGTGTGTGTGTGTGTGTGTGAAGATTTTTAGCACAAGTTGTAACACCACCAGTTCGTGAGGAAACGGCTTTATGGCCGCCTGGAAGCACATTTTCCTATCTTAACTGCCATACAAGTGTAAAAAGAAGTTAGCTATTGGACAATGTTACCTATAGGAAATGTGTTTTTTTTTTGGGTTTTTTTTTCACAAATCAGAACAGTTCCTTAATAATGTATCTGTGGCATGCTTTCATAAAAATATAAGGATCAAGAATTGGCAACCTATATTTATTTCATGCCTTCTCGAAATTGGATGGTTTTAGAGGCAGCTCTGTCACATGCAAAGCACCAGCCCGTGAATAACACTGACTAACTTAACCACCCTCACCCCGGCAACATGCACACACTTATAGTTCGTGACCATTATCACACATAAATGCATCAATGAAAGTAGCGGTGTGGTTCATCATGTCACCAAACACAAAAGTTCCTGACCACCATGTAAATAAGTTAGCCAAACAACATTATAATATTATCAGAAGCCAATGCTCGTAATAGTGTTAGGTAATGCTAATTTGTGCTAACACTGCAGCTCTACTTACATTTTGACATTGACAAGCCTGTGTTGCGCTTTACCCAACTTTTCTGGCAAGTCATTGGCTGAGAAACTCGGCGTGGGCATGCTTATTACGTAAATAAACCCTTTTGTTTCATAACAGTGCTACAAAAGTGCCAATGGGTTATCTGAACAAACACATTTACAGAAAGAGGCAAATGGTTTAATCGTGTACTTAGAAGCCACCAGCCAGGATGGAAATGCTTAACGCTGTGGTGTAAATTCTGTTCTTCTCTTATCATTGTAGTCATTGAGCAGCCAGCACAAGGACGGATGTGCTGCTTCCATTAACAATCATTTACATTACCGTGTGTAAACGTTGACAGCTAATTTGAACAAATTGCCACATATGGTCAAGGGTAGATGCAGCCACCAGTAGACTTTCTATCACTTTATTCGACAAACGGTACCAAAATAAATGCAAGTACATTCATGGAAGAGCAGTAACCGCAAAGCAAATCACTCACAATGTTCATCCTTCTGGTTGGCTGACCTCTTCCCGTCATTTTAGACCTAATTCACTCCGACAGTCCCACTCCCCTCGAGCATTTCGGCTCTACCAGCCAAGTGCCTAATTCAACTTGAAAGACAGCCAGGCCTCTGTCACGTGTGTATGCTTTCATTTTGCTAACTTTATTCGTCTGTTATTAAATGTCAACAGCGATCCAAAGGTTGACCAGAATCTTCCATTCAATGAAAAGGCAGCAAGGCATCCTTGAAGCATTTTAATCCCCACCACCCTTGATCATTTCATTTGTTTTAAGAGTGGTGTAATGACATTGATTCCTTTTTATTTGTTGTTATTATTCTTGGCAAAAAAAGTAATTTTGAATGCTTTTCCTATGCAAAAAAAAAAATCTGTTGCGCTTGTTCTCATTCGTGTCGCAGGTGAGTTTGACGGCTTTCCCAGGGAGGGCACCCTGAACTGCTCGCAAACCAAGCACAGAGAACACACAGGCAAACGATATTTCACCCTCACGCACACACACACACACACACACACACACACACACACACACACACACACACACACACACACAGAAACTCTCATCCTAGTTAAATTTTCCTTCTCATGTAGTCGACAGTCAAAGCGGCGCATTGGTAAGCAGATCTGCCTCACGGTTCTGAAGTCAGCCCTAGTGGAGATGAGCAGTATTGAAGATGGATAAATGGAAGAAAGCTTTGCAAGTGTCACCCCCAAAAATTGATGGTGATGCCCCCATGAAATTTGGTGCTTCTGTTTGTCATAAGAGGACACATGAAAAGGTCTCAAGGCCCACTGCCCGACAATCAACAGGAAGTCATTTTGGTTTGAAGCAGCCAATTTGGGGGCCAATTCCTGGGTTTCGTACGTTGAGCAATTCCAAATTACCCCTAATTGGAAGCAAGACCAGTCTATCTCAAACTTTAATGAGATAATAGGGTCCTTGGGGGGGCTGGAGCCTTTTCCAGCTAACTTCGGGCAAATGGCAGACTGAACACCCTGAATTGGTTGCCATTCAGTTGCTGGGCACATATTGAGATGACCAACCATTCACATTCACATCGTCACTGAGCAGAAACTGATCCCACTCTGCCCGCTCTCAATTCAGGGGAGAGTACCACCACACCATCAGCGACTCGAGTAAAATAGCATTTAGTGTATATGTCGCTGGCAGCGTGGTGTCAAAGATTTTTTTTTCTTCTCTTTTTGGTAGCTTTGTTTGTTATCATGTCTCCACAGCATACTTCGAACCAGTTGAACCTACCCGGAGAGGTGACCGACCGCACTGTGCTTAATGTGCTGGCCTCCACCAGACAAGGAGACCGCTTCATACTGGACAGCCTCAAAGTATTTTTTATCATCATCCCGATTAGATTTATCCTTATAGCCAAAGTAAATAACTTTTTTTTAAAGTCATATTAACATATTCTCAGCCAATGTTTCCACACTCCTGCAGACTGGAGCCATCCAAGAGGAGTTTTATAAGGATTGTGATTTGAAAGTGGGCGGCGAATTGAACGTGTGGGGCAGGAAAGTGATCATTGCTGACTGTGACGACTTCACCAAAGACTACTACCGCTACAAGTATGGGATAGGTAAAAAGAAAGCAGCAGTCTTTTTCATCTATTGACATCTGTTATTTATTTATTCATAACTTTTCTATTTGCAATGTCCAGATTGAACCACTGGAGGGCAGTAAGCGTTAACATGCATGTCACTCGTACAATCGACCATTTTCCAACTGAGCAATAGTACGTACATATTATTGTGTGTTAAACTATATTGTGGCTCCCATAACTTAATTTAACACTTCTTCACCACAATAGACGGGTGAGAGAGACCAGAGGAAGAACTGTTATGTAGTATCATTCGTACCGAGTGGTCCTTCTGAAGTGGGTATTTTAAAAAATTGGATGTTATCATGATATATGTAATTTTGCCATTTTTTTCAATAAGTAGCCAATAGATGAAGGCTCGAAGTAACTTTTCGTTGTTTGAGGAGCAATCTTCTGAGCAAGCAGAAATAACTTAATTTGAAGGCCAATTGACTTATTTTGAGCACAGGTTAATCCCACGAATGACACGTGGGTTCGATTAAACAATAAATACATGTCAATGTAACTAGGAGGTTGACTGTAGGCCTCCAGCGATCGAATATTTCAGTATTCGAGTATCCTACTAAAAATTCTATAGAGTAATGCATGTATTCAGTTAAGTATTCATTTCTTGTATCCAAAAATATGAGGCATTAAAAAAAAAAAAAAAAAGCTACAACAGCCTCTGTGCAACTTCACTTGAGCATCGAGCATTTTAGAAATGCACATAATAATACAGTGGGTTCATGTTTGTGTGTTTAGGAACTTAGACAAACCTACTCGGCAACAGGCAAGCAGCCCCACAGCAGGAGTAACCCAATCCAGGATAGGATGAGTCCGCTACCCTGGGCAAAATGTTGAGGCTCTCCTGCATTAGTCACAGTAGTAAAGCAGGCAGAGTGATGCATGCATGATGGAAGTTGCCGTCTGACTCCAAGCAGTCACAGGTCGTTGCGGGGTTAACGTCCGCCCTGAATGCCGTGCTCCCTCGCGGATGGATTACCTTGGAGCCTCTGATCATTTCAGCGCTTCTCCCAGGGTTTGTCTTCTTTTAAGTGTGTTCTCCTTCTTTCCCCTCTCAGAGGACTTTAACCCGGTGAAGTACAAAGCTCCCGTAGCCCCCAAGCCTCCCAAGCTTGTACCTCCTTATAATGGCTTTGGCTCAGAGGAGGACTCACTAAGCTCTTGCCAGCGCCTGCTGCCCAAACCCCCACAGAAAGATCTCCATAAATTCATGGAACATGACAGGTTGGATCACATTACACACCGCATTATTTGTTGGTTCCAACACAACAGACTAATGTTAAACAGTAGTGGCAAAGTGTTATTGTCATTCACATATCACAACAGTAAATGTGTGTGTGTGTGTGTGTGTGTGTGTATACTGTATATATATCTATATATCTATCTATCTATATATATATATATATATATATAAAAGAGAAAGAGAGAAAATGTTATGATATTTTTTTAAACATACATAACCCATCATTAATGTTTGGGCAGACGCCGTACTCAGTGACACTTGTGAGTCTGTCCAAACATTAATGACGAGTTATGTATGTTTAATACATAACCCGTATGTCTGTCTCGATATGTGCCCTGTAATTGCGACCAGTCCAGGGTGTAGTCTAGCGATTGCTCAAAGTCAGCTGGGATAGTCTCTAGCTCCCTGCAATCGTAGACAAGACGGGCACTATAAAAAAATGGGTGAATGGACAAGTATGGATATTATGATTCCATCCATCCATCCATTTTCTGAAGCGCTTATCCTCAAAGGAAACCGCAGTACCCGGAGAAAATCCATGAAGGCACAGGGAGAACATGCAAACTCCACACAGGAGGGCCGGAGCCCAATTCGAACCCCGCACCTCTGTACTGTGAGACCGACGCGCTAACTAAGCAGTCGACCACCGGGTCGCCCGGATAGTATTATTATTAATTCTATTGAATATTATCATATTAATTAATTAATGTAAGGATGGCGGCCCAGTAGTCCAGTGGTTAGCATGTCGACTTCACAGTGCAGAGGTACCGGGTTCAATTCCAGCTCCGGCCTCCCTGTGTGGAGTTTGCATGTTCTCCCCGGGCCTGCGTGGGTTTTCTCCAGGTACTCCGGTTTCCTCCTACATTCCAAAAACATGCATGGCAGGCTGATTGAACACTCGAAATTGTCCCTAGGTGTGAGTGTGGGCGTGGATGGTTGTTCGTCTCTGTGTGCCCTGCGATTGGCTGGCAACCGATTCAGGGTGTCCCCCGCCTACAGCCCGTAGACAGCTGGGATAGGATCCAGCACCCCCTGCGACCTGAGTGAGGATAAAGCGGTTCGGAAAATGAATGTATGAATGAATTTGTAAGGAGTTTGCATGTTTCCCATGTGGGTTTTCTCCAGGTACTTCCAGGTGCTTGTTGAAATGTTGGCTTAATTGAAAATAAAATTGTTCAGGGTGTGAAAATGAGGGAAATGATGGGTTTTCTTATTTATTCACAGATGTGGCCTTGAGAGTAATGTGCTCAAGTACTATGCCAAGATGGTGACCACCAGTCAAGTGGATAGCGAGAGGGAGTTCATCATCTCCTTCTACCTGAGCGACGACTCTATCAGTGTGTTCGAACGCTCTCAGAAGAACTCAGGTTCAGACTGTGAGCCAGAACACAAACTACAAACTGACAGAGTACATTAGGGTTGCGATGGACTTCTGCGAGCCTGCAGCTTAAGATCTTTCTCTTCTTCGTGGATCATTAGGTGTGCTCGGCGGCATGTTTCTGGCACGCGGTCGCGTCAAGAAGCCGGGCCAAGAGTTGTTTAAGAGCGAGCCCTCCGAGTACTTCATCGCTCAAGATTTATACGTAGGAGCAACCCTCTGCCTTAACAACAGACTATTCCAGCTGCTGGATGCTGACGAATACACCTTGAACTACCTGGAGCAACATGCCGAGCAGGTTTGGGACCAAGTACTGCGTCATATATAAATGATGACAGCACAGTCAATGAATTAATTAATTCCATATTGTGTGTAACCGTCTTAAAAGTTTCCCAAAGCCAATTTTGGCACCATCCTGGCTAAACTGCGGTCAATTCCGGAGGAGAAGCAGCGTGAGATCAGGAACTTTCTGATGCTTAATGATCCAACCAACACTGGATTTGTCACCTTTGAGTCGTTCAGGTATCATCTCAGAGATAGGAATCCCTGTTATACTGTTTGCA